CCCTTCCGCAGCAGATCGCCGACCCTGAGTCCCTCTCCCCCGTTCAACACCCAGAACCGTCGGCTGCAGCTTCGTAACGCTCGGTTTAGGGGTGCGTTGCTTGCCTCGGCTTCTGCATCTACTTCAACGGCTGCTACTGCGTCTTCGTCCAGACCACTGAGCCCTCCACAATCCCAGGCCGAGACATGGAGGAGTACATTGGACGGCATTGAAGACGACGACAAAGAAAACGACTTTGCCTATGAGGGATTTCATACAACAACTGCAAGTAGCTTTTCCAGGGGCTCGCACAGCAGACGATCGAGTATATTGAGAGAATTGGGGAACTCGACTCAGCGAAGGCGATCTCAGCATACCTCCCGTGTACCCGTGACTTCCATATTTCAGTCGCAGCCAGACTCGCCTCCATGGTCTGCATCATTTGGCCGGCCCAAAGTTAGCGTTGAGGACCAGGACCAGGCTCAGGCTCAGGAAACTCAAACCCATGAACTAGAGCTGGAACTCGACTGGGAAGAGAAGATGCAACTGCATTCCACGAGGAAAGCGTCGATATCGTCGCAGAAAAGTAATCCTTTCACAAGCCTTGACCGAATAAAAAGGCCAAAAGAGCGGAATCGAGACGGGCGTCGTGATGCATCTCAATACATCGAGCATCTTGAGAACCAGCTTGCGGCCACGCTCCAGGATGCTGGGTTGGCCGATGCAAAGACACATGCTGCTCGATACAAGGCATTAAAGACCGAGTACAGGATCCTAAGGCAGGAACTGACTGAATGGGAGGAGAAGTTTGAAGCTCGAGTACAGGACGAAGAAGCAGTGGTCGCAGAACGAGAAGCTCAACTGAAGATACGCATACGAGTGCTGGAACGTGAAGTAGAAGTCAAAGACAACAAGATCAGAGAGCTCGAATGGGAGGTTGAGAAAGAAGCACAGAACAGACGGACGCTGGAAGCTGTTACTGCTACGAACCGCAGTCTGGAGCGCCGAGTTGATGTGCTGACTGAATTGCTTGCTCAGTCGCCTGGCAGAGTAGAACTGCCCGCTCCCCCACCGGCTTCAGCAGTAGACGGTGCTTCCTCGATACATGGCGGAGATGGTAGTATGTGCCGTACGCCTAGGCCCAAGTCGATGTTCACCAAGATACCCTTGTCACCGGTTCGACAACCTCTTTTCCATCCCACCAGCGAGCAGGACGCTTCATTTTCTGACCCATGCAAAAGGGGTTCGGGAGATGAAGATTCTCGTGTCTTTGAGCTAGCATCTGTTGACTCGGGCTTCGATTCCTGTCCGTCACATTCCCAGCGAACCTCCCTTCTATCAAGCCAGTCTGGCCCTGGGTCAGCAACATCACTCCCGTTATCACCAGAACTCCAACTACAGGGGAAACTCCAGTATCGAAAGAGAAAGATGCGCCGTTTCCCTTCTGGTTGCTGTACGTTGAAACCGCTTGTCTTGCCAACCGCATCCGCTGCCCTTTCGCCGTACGCTCCGCCTGTAAATCCATCGGCGTCGCCTGGTTCTATACAACAGCAACGTCTGGCACGGTATTTCTCAACGCTACGGTATTCAAAGGCTGGGTCAGGTTATGGCGAGTCGTTATATGACGACGAGACAGATGGAGACGACGCTGACACTGATGCAGCGAGGACAGATGCACTTGACTCGCTGGAGGGTAATGTAACGCATTATCAGTCCTTTGAAGAAGCGATGGCTGGTCACGACTTATCATTTGACGACACGGAAGAGTTTGGATATAGTCCGTTTGCCGCAAGTAAAAGCCGCTCGCCAGGAAGCGAAGCAGTAAGCTATGAAGGAGGAGGTACAGTCAGACGACGCCGCAACCGCAGTCGCCAGATATCGACGCTACGCATCGGTATAAGCCCCATTAACCGCATAATTTCAGCCAGGCAGCACCATGCTTCTCTATCGTGGCTTGAAAAGTTACACCTATATGCCCCACAGCTACTGTCTAACGTACGAACACTGGCCTGCCGCATCTTGTCTAACGCATGGCATTCCAACTGGCGCCGTCTAGGTGGTATATCCTGGTGGTTCCTCGGTCTGTTGCTTGGTACACATACACGGAACCAATGGGTCAGGTATTCTATGGTTCGAAGTGCAAGGTGTCTGGGACGTAGCGAGGAAGTCCGGACGGAGGAGGATCAGGAACCATCAACCCCGGTCAGTGTCAACCATCGACCGGATACTGCAACATCACTTCCTTCCGGGTATACGCCAGCCATGCAGGAATGGCTCAAGTTCTCTGTCACCCTCGTGTTGGCCATAGGTCTTGCTATTCGTGATGGGCCAAGCACACTAACATGTGCTTGTCCACCACCAGAAAGCGATATCAGATCTAACCCTGACGCCGACACAATGACAGAATCTGAGGTCTACCAATCATCACCCAAATACCAACCTATACGCACCAGCCTCTCAGTTCTCAGCCCAAGTGCTCTCCCCAGAGATGATGAAGCATTTGACAACGGCCTTGACTGACATTCGTTCATCCGCAACAACACCCTAATGATTGATGACGCTCCCTTCCCTTTTCCTTAATTTTTTTTTCCCCTTTGATTTTTTTCCTTACCCTCTTTTGTATAACGCCCTATCACAAACCATTTGAACATCTGTGATGCATCTCCGTGCCTTGTAAAAGGGGAGACCAAACGGATTCGTGTAAATGGGCGATAGATTACAATTAGACTAGCTCGGTCCTGGATAAGTAAATAATAATAGATTCATTCTTTTTACACTTGAGTAGTGGCCAGGACAGCCACATACCATTAAATCGGGGGGAGTGGGCTCGCTGGAAGTCTTCGCGCTGAAAGCTGAAACACGATATTCACATAGCATCAGTCATATTCTGGGGGTGGTGGTGGTCATTATCAAACAGGAAGGAAAACAGGTAGAGGAGTCCCATCAAGCGGTGCTGCAACGACAAGGAGGGTGATACATGTGTTTGTGTTTAGCAGCATATATCACAGCAGCACTCGCACGATTCTCCACAGAGCCAGCAGCAGCAGAGTGTCGCGAGACTTGGGGGATCGTAAACGTCAGTTTATTGCATTTTTTGATAGTTTATAGCCTGAAGCCGCTCTAGAGTATGAGTGCACGTACCAGGTGTAGAGGCATCCCCTATCCTTCTTCTCCTGAACTACAACTGGCGGCGGTGCCTGCTGGTATTGCATCTATGGGTTATAGCGAAGTCAGCGCTTCCAACCCCACCAACTTAAGTTGCACGGCGACGGGATAACAAGAGCGTTATACGCACAGGAGGAGGACCGCCCTGTGGGGGGCCCTGAGGAGGATAGCCGCCGTTGTAGCTGCGATCGGTCAGTCAGTCAGTTGCCATCGTTCAAGGAATGGAAATGAGATGCTGTCATATTTTCTTGGCCATGCGATGTACATGCATAACGCCGTGGCCGATACGAAGAGGCGAGGGCACCGTACCTCTGCTGTGGCTGGTTCTGATAGTAGCCGGCGCTGGACATCTTGCTGGCTGTTTTAACGAGAGTACCGAGTATTCAAGGGGGGTTATTGGCGAGGTTTCCTTTGCGGGCTGACGAGAGCGAGAGCGAGAGAGGGCGAGAGAGAGAGAGAGAGAGAGACGACTAACTTGACAGCAGTGTGCGCCCCGGGGGCCCTTGGCTTTAAATAGCGAGCAGCCTGAGGCTGGAGTGTCCTGCTCAGCTCACCTTCTCCCCAGCACAGACTGCGGGCTAGCTATGTCGGACAGAGCCAGCCCCTACGCCACAGAGTGACTCTGCCAATCAGCACGGCGGCCAACGGCGCGAGCTGACGTGGCTGGTAAATTCAATCACGAGCAGCCCTGCAGGTGTATAGGCACTATCACAAGGATGGTAAAGGCCGGAGTCGCTCGTCAGCAATATAAGATACTTCCCAACATATCAAGAATATACTTATTCATCTACGGATACCCTCCCTACACTGCAGCGAGAGTTTGGAACGTTAAACTACCAAGCTTCTGATAGGGCCGACCCGGGGGATCCAGGTACGTACCCAGGCACGCACGGAGGAGTTACGTATGTCAATCAGGAGGCAGTCAGCCAGATGCGATTCTGTTTCCCTTGGCCGCCATGGGAGACTGTGGCTTCTTCTGCTGCTTGAGCTGAGGCTCCTGCAGCCAAGCCCAAATCAACAACAAGCGCTGCTCCATAGGGGATATCGCTATTGGCCCTCCGGCGAACAGGGACCGGCAGTCACCTTCATGGTTACTTCGTTCCTCAGCCCTATCCTAGCACTTCAATCACCGAACCACCAGATAATGGCTCCTGTCAGTGGGAACTGCCCAAGTGACCACCTTTTGTAATTTGGCTGCATGTCTATTATGCACGGCTAATGCGGCTTCTCCTGGCCGCAAAAGGCTCGTATCTTCGGGGAATCCTTCAGGGGCGCCTCTGATCCGTACCATATTCCGCCATCATGGTGTCCTAATGCTAGGAATGCGTGTTAATCGGGGGGGAGAAAGCCCAAATAAGAGACATTGAAGTGACGAACACTTCGTATGCCCTTGATATGCTAGAGAAAGGGTGAATAGCCAGGCATTTGTCACGAGAACAACAAGCAACGAGACCTTGGGTGCTATTACCGTCAAGACTCACGTAGTATAAACGGCCGCTCGTTGGAGTACCATATCTATTCCATTATTGAAATTTGGGTAAGGTCTTTATTGGCTAAACTGCATCAAATACAGGTGAGGTACCGTATTTCTCACGTGAAACATATAAAATCCATGAGTATAACTAGATCTAGATCGTTGATGTCGAAGGATTCCAGATATCGTCTGTGAGGAATTCAATCGCCGAGAAGGTTCGATTTATCTAGGTTGTTGAATCATATCTACCAACATCTATTAAATGACATTATAAATCAACTGATATATCCCAAAGTCATATATACCAACGTCCAATCTACCAGAGGAAAAAAAAGGAAAGTAACGTCTAAGCGGTTCAATAATAAAATCATAGCACATCCAATCAATAAGGATCCCATTCTAGTCGTTGCATTAACAGGAAGGATTCAACGGGCACTCCTCGCCAGGCCTTTTTACCATCAACTTCCTTGAAAAATTCCGGTTCAAAGCTCACCTCTGCCCAAGAGCGTATGAGGTGCCTCCAATAACAAACTTCCGCAGCGGGTGTAAGGTACTGTTCCCGGAACGTTTTGATATTATTCTGTGCAATCCGCTTTGCGTCCTGCTCGTGCTCCTCAAGCCACTTGATCTTCTCGCGTAGGTCCGACCAGTCCCTCCGCACCTCTACATAGTTCTGGCCTGGGCCCGAGCTCTTCATGAGAGGAGACTGATGCTGGATCCACTCGAGGCTGTGAGAAATGACAACCGAGTTGCAGCTCTGGAGATACTTCAAGCGCCCGGAGTAGCTGTTCCCTTCGGTCTGAGCAAGGTACTTGAACCGGCAGTGTTCGGGCATTGATTTCAAATCGTTCTGCATACTCTCATTATCACGCCATGTTATCGGCTTGACGTCCGCCCATGGCTGGCCCCTGGTGACTTGAATAAGCTTCTCGCGGACCTCCAGGTCCATGGTGGCGCCTCTCCAGAAAAGCTGGGGGATTTTCTTCGACCAGGACCAAGTGTGTTCTTCCCGTTCGGCCCCCATTTGAACTTCTTGCATGGTTCCAACTTTTGTCTCGGGCCAGGACCAGTATCCGAAATCAGGCATAAGCCATAGGTTTGTATCCTGTTCGCGCCGGGCGTAACCCCACTGCGCAACTGGGTCAACTTTATCGTCGGTGTTGAAGACGAATTCTATATTTGGGAGCGGGTCGGGAGAGGAGACAATTGCTCGGTGTAGAGCGTGCAACGTCGCAATTTCTCGGGAGTATATAGTTCCATTCACAGCAATAACGTAGAGCTTAAACAACGACATTGTTAGCCCCAATTCGCACGATTACTATATTTTCTTTATTGACAAAAAGACACTTTCTTACTTGTTGGTCGTAAATCATCGCACGGATGTATCCGTTTTTGGGTATGACGGAATCGATTTCTGCGAGGCTTACAGGGCGCTGCACCCGCTCTTGTTTCGCGCGATCAATCTCCGCGAAAAGGCCTGGAAAAGTCGATTGACATTGCTCAGCGCCGAGCACAAGAGTGTTGGCATCCCGCTTGTGATTCCATTGGCATCCAGGGTCTGCTGCATGATACTGGCAGCTGGCAGGGGCGGTAATTGGACTGGGATAGCCGCGCAGTTGGCACCAAAGTAACACCAGCGCTAAAAGGAGGCTGGCGGCGACGGTGCGCCTGCGGTACTTTCGGGCTGCAGATGTCGGATGCGGAGGAGTCTGCGCGTCCATTTTGGGTAGCTATGTGACGGAAGACGACGCCATGAGTGAGAAGAACGAACCCCTGACTGCATCGCAAAGACAATCGACGGGAAAATTCTTGTAAAGGGGCCTAGGTAGTATCATTTTTCCCCATGGGATCCATGGACCGCCCGCGCTTAAATCATGTGACCATAGTGGCGCCTTTTGAGTTTTTGACGCAAGCAAAGTGTGGCGAAATTTCCTTGGCAGAGCTTGATTTTTTCCAGGGATTTGGCGGTGCGATTTTTGATACGTCGCAGTGAAGCAAGTGGTTTTGTCCTCACCTGTGACTGGTGGTGGGAGGCCAACTTGGTGTGGTAGCTTAAGTTTCAACGAACTCACTTCGTATCCCTAAGGAAAGCGTGGTGAAGCCTCGAGATTTCAGCGGGCTGCGCGTGAAGCAAAAAAATAGGGTTGATGTTGGATAGAAAGAGGACAGCAGCTGGATGGAATGCCCATAAACGGTCATTGTTTGTGATGATTGTTGGTGGAACAGGTAGCTTGATGAGGATAGTCGAGGGAGTTCCAACTCTTTGGACGGCTCTCTTTTATGGAAGGGCGCATGAAGTGTCGCACTAGCCGACGGGCCTCCAACCGGCAGCCAGGCCGATAATTTAACGATATCAGGGATACCCTTCGAGAATCACACAACAAACTGTCCAGAACGCCAGACGGGGGACAGCCGACAGACAGTAAAAAAAATTTTTTTTTTTTTTTCGCGCTATGTTTTATATCTGGTCGGGTTCCCTATTCATGCACGCACATGGTATCATCGCACAGCAGAAGCCACTGTCTCAAGGAGATGGGATCAGTCATCAGTCGACATTATTTATTATTAGACCGTGGTCGCAGAATCACAGCCACCTCATCTCATCTCACCCTGCAGGCGATGAAGCGGCGCTAAACCAAGGACGACGGAACAGACATCAGTAGCCGAACCCTGACTAAACCAGCTTTTAGTCACTCGTGTGTCGGCAGGCCCGACGACTGAGATTGTCATCTACATCCTCATCTCCGTCCCAAGACCGCCCAGTAGCCGTGCGCCGGTTTAGCTCTTCCCAGCCAAGCGTCGAGTGGATGTCAAAGAGAAGCAAAAGCAGGCGGGCGCTTCATGAGCTGGCGGGCGGATACGGGGTAAGCTTGTAAGTACCTACTGTAAGTATACTTAAGGTACGGAGTACCGTAGGTGCAAGGGGTGATCCCAGGTACACCAGCGCAGAAACGAAATAAAGCCAAGTCGCGCTGGCTACTAACGTACCGTCTAAGCCGTTTCAGCCTGTGAGCTTCATTTACCTGGCGTCGTTCAGCGACAAACGGCGTATGAGCACAAGGAGGCATATTTACAAACGGGGGTTAAAGACAAACGCTTACACACAGTCTTACGGCGTAAGTCAATCAGCAAGTAAGGAGGAGGAGAATATACGAGCAACAAAGGAGTGAAACGATAGTTGTCTATCCCGATCAACGTGCTTCTCCATACCGTAAGTATTTCCCGCTCGAGTCGGCCGCAGCAGCACAAGGAGCATAACCTAAGTCGGGTGGTAAGTGTAAGTACATGTATACATACTTATGGAGACAGCCTTGCGCTGACAAGCTGAATGGCGGGGGAAGATCCGACAGTTTTAGTGTGTGTGGGTTAGGAAAGGGAGAGGACGAGGGTGTTTTGAGATCGGCACGATCGACAGGAGCTAGGGCAGCGGTTGTTGGATGACGAAATGAACATCTCTGGATGGAGTATGGAGTTACATGCCTATACTGCAAGGAAAAAAGGGGGCTTGGGGATGGCTTGAGGGGGCTGCGGTTAAGGTTATGTCAGCGATAAGCTTAATTCAAGAGAGTGTGTATCGTGGGTTGTGCGACAGTGGCGTTGAAAAGGGCAGGGTGTCATCATATGTATGTATGTATGTATGTATGTATGTGTGTAAGTGTGTGTGTATGTGTGATGTAGGGCGCAGGATGAAGCAAGGCCAGGCAGGAGGCCGTTGGGTGCGATGAAACGGAGAGGGAGATTAGCCCTATAGCCGACGCGGTATCTGCAGGGAACCTGACGGGGAAGCGAGAACCAAGGACAATTGAGTGGGCAAGCGGTAGAAAGTGGTAGTTAAGTAATTAGTATTTACATACATACGGCGAGGAAGACATGAGCTAGGAAAAGGGACAAGGAAAGCAGACTTTTGTGCAGTCCATCATGAGAAGCGGAAGAGGTATGAAAGAAAAAGTCGATGAAGGACAGTCAAGCTGTGCTAGATACGGAGTAGAAAAAAAAAGCGCGCTTCTATGAGCAGCGTAGAAGAAGAAGAGTAATAGTTAGATGAAGAGAAATTGTGAGAGAAGTAGTAGTGGTAATAGTAGGAGAGATATCATCGCACGGTTCATGAGGCTGATCTTGGTATGTCTAATACATATTTTATCGAAGAGAGAAAAGAAAAGGAGCAATTCTCTTTACATGGCAAAAGCAGCGGCGACAACGAGGAGAGCGGCACCGAAACCAGCGCCAACGCGGCCGGCACCGTTGTTGAATGGTGGAGGGGTGTTGGTCGAGGCTGGTGGTGGCACGGGAGCACCGGAGCCAGATGGAGCTGGAGCTGGTCCAGGGTTGCCGCCGGTTGGGTGAGGAGTGCCGGGTACTGGCGCGCTGCCAGTTGGCTGGGGCACGCCGGGGACAGTGGAAGTGGTAGCAGATGGCGGGCAGATGGAGGTGGTGAGAGTGATGACGCCGCCGGAGGGGACGGGAGTGCTGGAGGAAGTCTCGACGATGTGGGTGACTGGCTTGGAGGGCTGGGGAGTCCAGGTAGGCTTCTCGACTGGCGTGGTGGACTTTGGTGGCTGTGGCTTGGGGCTGTGGTTCTCGATGCCGAAGTTGGTGCTGTACTGGTACTGGCCGGTGCCCTCGACGACGATCATGAGGCCGTAGGAGTCGTCACCGGTGAGGTCGGACTTGGGAGTCCAAGAGAGGCTGCCGGAGTTCGGGATGTTCTCAGCAAGAGTTTGAACTGGGTTGCAGTTCTTGGGGCAGCCGTGGAGGAGCATGATGGAGACATGGCTCTCGGTGGTTGCCTGCCAGGTGATGGTGTAGGGCTGGCCGACAGGGACCTTCTCGTGGAGGCCTGGGGTGCCGATGGGGTTGCCGGAGGGAGGCTGGGAGTAGTTTGGAGGAGTGACGGCAGAGACGGCGGCCGCGAGGGCAGCAACGACGAGAGTGACCTTCATCTTGTCTTGTTTTTTGGTGGTGATGTTGTAGTTGTAGTTGTTGTTGTTGGTATCAGAGTATAGATCTGGAGAGACCCGGGTATAGGAAGGATTAAGGGTATTTTTATTTAGTTATTAGAGCGTAGCGAGGCCAGGACCTGAGCGAGCGAATGAGTCTAAAGAGCGACTGAGTTGGCTGACTTGAAGAAGAGAAAGAGAAGAGAGAAAGAGAGAGAAGAGAGAAAAGAGAGAAGGAGAAGGAGAAGGAGAAAAAGCGAGCGAGAGAGCGAGGACGCCGGCGTAGTTTTTATAAAGTCGAAGAAGAAAGAGGCTGAGGGTGTCAAAAGTGTTGGTGCGGCCTTACTTTCCGCGTTCGCGAGGCTGTCCAGTGATGGCCGCTTCGGGCTTAGTGCGCGTTAAATGAGATGCCCCACCAGAACAGCCAATCAGAGGAGGAGGAAGGGCCCTGGTCCCTGGCATAAAGTGGGGCTACCTTAGCAGGAAGGGACCCTCCTTGCATAAACTTTGATGAGGTTCGCTCTTTCCTTCTTTTTCCTTGTTTGTGACGAGACGATACGTAAATAACAGACAGAAGATTACAGAGTAGATTACAGAGAGTTGATAGAAGATAGTAGGATAGTAGAGGAGAAGACGAAGAAGACGGAGAGAGTGAGATAGAGAGAGTAAAGAAGATAGAGAGAGAGAGATAGAGAGAGAAAGAGAGAGAGGGAGTGGGAGAGAGAGAGTCGCTTGGTCGCTGGTCCGATTGGGCTGTGGGCTTCCTTCGCGCCCAGCAGCGGGTTGGTTCCCAGGCCTTGTGCCAGCTGGAGACGCTAAGATGGGCAGCAGCAGCAGCTAGGCCAGGCCCAGATGGATAATAATAGAGAAACAAGACGACGAGGGAGGATGCGACTCCATCGTCGCATGGAAGGGTCGTATCATGCGATTATTGCCTGGGATGCACTGGCCGGAGGCGACGAGACGGAGGGTTTGGGCATCTCGATCAGCCGCAAGAAGCATGTCTCACTGGAGGATGCGATGAGATACGAGAGCGAGATGCATTTACTTCTATCGCCAACGGAGTTCTTTCTCCCATACTACTTACTTACTTCGATGTCCGTCGGCAGTGGTATAGCGATGAACCCGGCAGGGATGCAGGGCGCCAACGGTGAGCCAGGCAAGCTCCGATGCACGAAAGGGTTACATGGCAGCTTGGGCTCGCATTGGATGGAAAGGTCATGCGAACAATTCTTGTTATTTTATTATTATTATTATTATTATTACTAGTTATACTGACTGCCTGGCTTATCGATGACGGTGGATGCAAAGCTAACCGCCGGCTTGGGGTTGGATGGATGGGCTGTTAGGGGGGGGTTTGGTAGCTGCTTTCAGGGGGATATCTCTCGTTTACTCCGTCCTGCCTCTCCTATCAAGTCTCTCAGGTCGCCCGTCTGGCGATGCGAACAGGCTCTCCAAGACTCCTGCGATGAGGCTTTAATCTTATCCTGTCCAGTCGAACAGCCAGCCCGGCCAGGGACAGGCACGTTGTGCTTCTTTTCTTTTTCTTCTTCTTCTTCCTTTTCTCTTCTCTCTCTCTCTCTCTCTCTCTCTCTTTGCTTTTCTTTCATGCTGCTGGCCATGTCTATATGTGTGTGTCCGTATACCCCCAGACTGGACAGGACATGGCTTCAAAGACTCCAGGTAGCGACTCCAGGGGGCCCCATGGCTCGATACCTAGCTCCAATGGCTCATGGTTCAGCACCCATGGCCGATGATGTGCCCGCCGCCCTCCGAGCGGAAGATGTGGGAAGCATATACGGAGTACTCTACTTACAGTATATCACTCCGCCTAGGAGGAAGAAGAAGAAGAAGAAGGAAGAAGAAGGAAAAAGAAAAGGAAAGCGAGTCCCATCCTTCTGAGGCTCTTTCGAGATGCCGTCGAGATGATGATGTCTTGGTCGTCGTCGGCGTCGGTGCTTAGGGGGAAAAGGGGGGCGGTCCTGGACAGGGGAGAGAAGATGCTTCGCCCCAATCAGACGCCGACAAGACATCGCATCGGCCATGTGCATTGATGATGATGATGGTGATGGTGATGGTGGTGATGGTGATGCCGATGGAGATGATGAGCTAGGGGAGCGAGAGTGGGCTTCCTGTACGCTGGGTCGAGCGGCTGGGGGCGCAGGACGTTATCCTTACTATCATTCGCTTCATGCATGCACGTTGACTCCGGCCATAGAAGACGCTGCTATTGCTGCTGGAGAAAGACGGAAGAGAACGAGGAGGAGAAGGACGGATGCGACGGCCGGCAAAAGGAGGCTGCAAAGATGCCTTGCATGCACGCTGGCCGTTGCTCTCTCTGCTCTCTCTCTGCTCCTCCTTTTGCTTCTTTTCCTTGTCTTGTGGTTGTCTCCGTGTGCCATTTTTTTTTTTTTCTCCGAAAGTTCCCACTTGGGCTGGTTTGGTTATTTTTGGACACGGACGGATAACTGTCGGATAACTAAATAATCATAGTTAACGGATGTAACTAACAGATTCGTTGGTTAGGGGGAGTTAGTGACGGCGTCGACGGCGAACGACGGCCATGCTTCGGCCAACAAGAGAGCCCAAAGATAGATTGATGGCTGATACATGTCGACAGATGAAACGCATGGCTTCAGCAGTATACATACATAGTTCACCTCTGAGGAGCTGCCGTGTCATATTATTATTATTATTATCTGTTATTCATAACTTTTTATCGGTTATCATTTGTGAGCGAGAAGGCCAGAGACACCCCCCCAGGCGACTTGACCTGCCGTATTTATATTCCACCCTCTGCTCTGCTCTGCTCGTATACCTGACTGCAAACGCTGCTAGTGACTAACCGGCCAGTAGGTGAGCTCGACTGGCGACGTTTCAGAAGGGCGTGTCTCGACTCGGTTCGAACTTAGGGTTGCCAGACGAAGCCACAACAAACACGGGCAGCTCAGGGGGTGACCAGAACAGACAGCCAGACCAGACAGACAGACAGACAACCAGATACCCCAGGATGGCCTCGTGTCTACAGGCTCCCCTCCAGAGCTTTTATATCTCGAGTCACCCTCACCCGTCGTCTGGTATGACAAGCTGGACGCAGAGCAACTGACAAGATGAAGCTGCTCTACCAGACTCACTCGCCCTACGCCCGCAAAGTGCTGGTCTTCGCCCACGAAGCCGGCCTCGCAGCAGACATCCAGGTGGTCCATCAGGAAACAAGCCCCATGCGGGCCAACGCTGAAGTCTACGCCCAGAATCCCCTTGGAAAAGTGCCAGTTCTGCTTCGTGGAGAGGCAGACCAAGCAGACCAAGCAGACCATCCAAGCCCAGAGGCAACTTCTGCCCTGTTCGACTCCAATGTCATCTGCGAGTACCTTGATACCCGCCACCAGGGACGCCCTCTGATCCCTCGCGAGGGTGAGGCCAGGTGGCAGGCCCTGCGCATCCAGGCCGTGGCCAGCGGTCTAGCGGATGTCGGCATTGCCGTCCGCTGGGAGACGACCAGACGGCCCGAGGAGCTGCGCTACCCAGAACTGAGCGCCAACCTGGCCCGCAAGCTGGTCGAGAGCTTCGACTGGCTGGAGCGGGAGCTGGACGACGACGACGACAACAACAACAACAACGGTGCAGCAGTGCATGTTGGCCATATTGCTCTGGCGACGGCGCTGAGCTGGCTGCTGTTTCGCGGCGTCGGGGAGGACTTTCGACAGGGCAGGCCGCGCCTGGCTGCCTGGTTCGAGCGATTTGAGAGCAGGCCGTCGATGAAGGCGACGCCGTTGTCCGGAGAGACGCACGACTGAACGGGGGGGCTCCATCCATGCAGGGTACCGTACCTGTTCTATTCTGATAATCTGTGCCTGTATATCCATCCTCCCCTCTGCTGGCAACTGGGAACAACAGGCAGCCGGTTTGAAATACTGGTATCCCGTAGTCAACTGCCCTGCATTTGTACGGCCATCTCCCGCAAGTCGAGTTTGAAATAACAGCCAGTCAGCCCATTAGATGTGTGTAACTCGCAATGAATATAATGCAAGTCAATAACAGATAGTATATCCATGGCCATAGAGATAGATGGACGGCCGCCTGCAGGCCTAAGTTAGGCCAGGGCCTTGCATCGCTTCACTAGTCGCTTAGCAGCATCAGGCCACATCACGCCTTTGAAGCCGTAGAAAAGAGAGATATCTAGCCTTCGTCTTTATGGCCTTTTTACCATCGTTGGAGACATCAAGCTCAGCAGCAGAAGACTCGGCCTGCTTGAGAATCCCTTCACTGAGGAAGGGCGAAGAGAATGATGCTCGTATAGCCCAGGGATCCTCCAAATCTCCACCAAGCCCGGCGCAATAATAGTTAAAAGAGCACACAGGATTTCGACCTTCTTCTGCAGGGGAAAAATCTTCTTCTGAGACCAAAAAAAACCCATCTCGCAACCTGCCAGGCTGTGCCTTGATTGTTCATTTCTTTTACTACTCGTTTTTTCCTTGTTGCGCCCTGCCTGCACTCTGCGCTGCTACGCCCTGAACCTCCAGCCGCAAGGACGACGCAACAGCAAGCAACGAGCAACGACTCCACGCTGGTCACGAAGGTCGCCACTGGACGTCCTGCAACCGGCTGTCCTGTCTCGCCCGTCTGTCCGTCCGTCTGGTCGCCTGATCAACCCGTTGCGGCTGCCGTTGCTGGCTGGGCCGACGTTACGATGGATAGATATCCAGACCGCTGCCTTTTGACTACAACAATGCCATGTCTATGACGTCGACGCTCTTTCACCGCATGGCCGCCCGTCGCTCTCTGGGGTACATACATCCGAACACTCGACATGCATCAAGTCACATCGACCTAAGTTTAAGCATAACACATGATGCTGGCGCCGACGGTGACGGCGACGTGGATCCAACGGGGGTCGCCTGCGATGCACATTAAGCCGCCATCCCGTCGACGATCATGGCTGTTTTGACCTCAACAACAACAACTACAACAGCAATAGTTTACCGCGGAGGAAGAGGGGGAGGAGGGGAGGAGGGGGCTACCCGAAAACAACTACCCAACGACGGGACAAGTCCATTCACTCTGCTGGCCCACCGCAATTGGGGGAAAGGCCGGAGACGGGAGTCTTAGGAGGAATGGCCCAGCAATAAAATGGTACGGCTGGAGGGCGCGTGACGCCCTGCAGGCCTCCGGAGGTCAAAGACGAGGACGGCGACGACGGTCTTCTTTGCCGCATATGGTGAAGACCAAGAGGCATGCGAGAGATGATTTTGAAGTGACAAGGAAAAGAAAGGCAGCAAAGGGGGAAAAAAGACCCAAAAAAGAGAAAAGGACAAGGATTACAGATGGTGTTTTTGGAGGCTGGGCCTGGTCTGGTAGCCATGGCGACCCCCGTTTCCATCGGCCCCTGAAAGATAATACAAGTTTGGGGCGGTTCAACAAACATTCTCGTTTCGACAGTGAGCTGGGTGGCTGCAACCCACGGATGAGGTGTCTGTGATGCTCGAGATGCCGCTGTGATGGCTGCCATGCCATGTCCAGCAGCCTGAGGCCCCCTTCCTGCCAGGCTTACCCCCCTGGGTTACGGCGTACTCCTGTCCAAAATCCGGGGAAAACCCTTGGAAGAACCACCCACTAAACTACCTACATACACCCAATCCGAACGACTCCATGGAGCAAAATGGCCTCGTGCCACCCTCGGCTGTCCGATACAATGGGCACAAAAGGTTGACGACCCGGTTTTTATCAGCCCCAGAACCAATAAGGCGGCCCATATGCACGATGATCTGCAGCCTCAGCAATGTGATATCCATCGAGAATGATGATACCCAGACCGACCCTCCCCCGGCCCACGCTGGATCTGACATTGCACACACGACTGGCTAGCAATCTTCACTTCGATGGAGATGGATTTTGTTTTGCCTTCTTTTGGCCATTGCCGATCGTTCTTGCTCGTGAAACGTGGGTCATGGATGAGGAACTCGGGCCTGGCGTGGGAAGGGCATAAGAAGGGCTGCGTCTCCTGTCGATGAATTTGATACTTTTACAGCATCCTCAGAGAACCTCGGGAACCTTCACCTTAAATTGATTATATATACACACACATAACTTATTCGATATACTTGTTGTGTGTGTTATATATACCGGCCAGCATGAAGTTTGGCTCTCTCCTCGGCCTGTCACTGGTTGGCCTCAGTGTTGCCTCCCCCGTTACCAACGTTTGGTGAGCAAACCCTCTTCCTTTTTTTTTTTTTGCCTCCCCCTGCCTCTCCTGAATCTTGAATTTCGTTTCTTCCCATCTCTACCTTTTTACCTAGGGCATTCTGTTTTCGACTTATGCTGACGTTGAATAGGAAATCACCAAGAGCTGCTGACGATTTTATCCGCGGCGTTAACCTGGGAGGATGGCTGGTGTTGGAACCATGGATCACGCCGGGTATCTTTGAAGAAGGAGGTGACAGCGCAGTGGATGAATGGACGCTCAGCGCAGCTCTCGGCCACCGTGCCCATGAGCGTCTCAAGCTGCATTGGAACACCTTCATGGAGCAGAAAGACTTTGATCGCATTAAAGGTGCAGGACTCACCCATGTCCGCATCCCAATCGGATATTGGGCCGTCGCTCCCATCCAGGGAGAGCCCTTTGTTCAGGGCCAGGTAGACATGTTGGATGCTGCCATCGACTGGGCCAGACACTCTGGTCTCAAGGTCAATGTTGACCTCCACGGTGGTACGTTCACGCTTACATAGTATCTCATGTTTTATATCACATACATTTTTATTTTTTAATATGCTGACTTTCTCAGCTCCCGGATCTCAAAACGGCTTCGATAACAGCGGCAGGCTGGGCCCGGCCAACTGGCAAAAGGGCGACACTGTGGCACAAACCTACAAAGCCCTCGACGTTCTCATCCAGCGATATGCCAAGAAGGACGGCGTTGTCGACGAAATCAACCTCATCAACGAGCCTTTCCCCCAGGCTGGCATCCAAGTCGAACCTCTCAAGGACTACTACCGCCAGGGCGCCGCCAAGGTCAAGAGCGCCAACCCCAATGTTGCTGTTGTCATTTCCGATGCCTTCATGGGTCCATCCAAGTGGAACGGCTTCGACGTCGGGGCCAAGACCATCATCGACACCCACCACTACCAAGTCTTCTCTCCTCAGCTCGTCGCCATGGACATCAATCAGCACGTCAAGGCTGCATGCGACTTCGGCAACGATGAACTCGCCAAATCCTCCATCCCCGCTATTGTTGGTGAATGGTGCGGTGCCCTGACCGACTGCACCCAGTACCTCAACGGCCGCCATGAGGGAGCCCGATACGACGGCACCCACAAGGACTCAGACCCCAAGACTGCCGTCCCCAACGGCTGTGTCCGCAAGACCGGAGGTTCTGCTTCTCAGCTCACTGATGAAGAGAAGACTAATACCCGCCGCTACATCGAGGCTCAACTTGACTCCTTCTCCAAGGGCCATGGATGGTTCTGGTGGACATGGAAGACCGAGCGCGGTTCTCCTGGCTGGGACCTTAACGACTTGCTTTCGAACGGCCTTTTCCCGCAACCTCTTGATTCCAGGATGTTCCTTGGCCAGTGCAACTAGATGGGTAGGATAATGGCTGGCGCAGGACGGACGTCTTTTTACTTTCCCTTCTTTTTTACACTTCATTAATTCATCATTAGTTATAGGTATAGGTTAGCATTGGATACTGGGATAATGTTTATATCCACCATCCCCTTTTTTCTGTGTACAGTAAATTAAACTAATTAGTACAAGCAGATAGACAAGACAATTATATTGAACGATCAGTCAGTCAAACCCAAGCTCAAGATGCCGATTCTGCTTAATAGATCAAATGATATACTACGGCGTAAGACTACCATGTATAACCAAGCAACGTAAGCAGTGTTCTTCCCTCTAGCTAATCGACGTTTATTCATTCTTTCTTTATCTGGGTATTCGTAAGCCGTAACTATAAATTCGATAGCAAAAACGGGCGAGAGAAGAAAAAAAAAAAGAAAGAAAAAGAAAAAGAAACAAGGCAGGTCAAGTCATCGTTGGAAAATATTGAGTGGCGGTGGAGGACGATGGGCCGCGGGCGGTGGATACAACAGTTGCCTGTTTTTTTTTTCAACTCCAACTCCAACCTCATCTACATGATCCCCAACTGCCCAAACCCATTAACAACCTCCCTATCCACATTCACCAACCACTCGTCCCTGAACCGATCAGCTCCTCCGCAAACCTGCACCAAAGCCTGGAGATGCTGCCCCACATATTCCCTCAAATTGATCTTGTGGATTGCGTCTGAGGCGCTCCATGCGCGGCGACGCGTAGTCTCAGGGGTCTCGGATTCATGGTATTTCTCTCCCTGAGCCTCACTGGGGTCGAAAACAAGATAATCGCCGTGTCGAGCGTCGGTAGGGTTTACCTCGGGCCCTTCAGATAGGTCGGTGATCAAGTCTGTCCAGATTGTTAGGTAGGATTGTAGATTGTTCAGTAAGTATGTTGGCGCCGGAGATGAAGGCCCGTTGACCGTTAGTAAATGCGTAAGAGCCATAGTATGCAGTTTCTTCTTGTTGACATCTCCAATATTGTCAAAGTGAGCGAACCACTCGCTTAGTATCCAGGTGAATGTCTGCTCTTCGGAGGAGCTGCTGGTTGCCGATGTTACGGCTGATATACAATTGCGTGGGGAAGCGAGGGCAAGCCGTGCGAGGACTGAGAGGTGGTCGGTTTCAGCCACGCCGTAGATGGTGGCTTGCTTCCTGTTAGGCCCCGTTGTCTGGCGGGACTGGTATGCGCCATATAAGGCGGAGAGAAGCGTCTCCATGAAGCCAGTGCTTAGCATGGACTTGGCGATGGCGCCGTACACATTCTCATTGTTCTCTTCGGAGGCAGATTCGCCTGTACGTATGAGCAGCTCCGCAAGATGAGGGACTAGGCCGATTCGGGGGGTGACATCTGGATTGAGGAGAGTGTTGAAGATATCAAACAATCGGAAACGGACGTTTTCATCGAGGAATTCTCGGGGTGCGAGAAGGATGTATGATTCAGTGACTTCAAGAGCCTGTCGTACAACATCGCTCCCAATTTCAAAGATGGGAAATATAGATGGGAATAAGGCTAGAATTTCAGGAGATGGTGGATTTGGAGTTTCGGATAGCACGGCAGACCATAGATCTAGAGACTCCTCGAGGAGGTAGACGAGAGATTCCTAGATTCCAGTATTAGTGTTATTGTGATACCTTGGAGAATAAGGGAGCTTGGAAACTTACTGAGCCAGGTTCGACCGATTTTTGGATAAGGGGTAGTATCATGGAGTGGTATCTAGTGGAGTTCTCTCTCATAGAGTGTATTAGGGATGACAGGAGTGTTAATATTGCCTGCTTCATTAAGTGTTCGTCACCAGATTGCTCCCAAAGCCCTGGTAGAAGGGATACAATTTGATCCGCAAAAGGGGTAATCTAGAATGAAAACTGGTAAGTATAATTATCTACTATCAATATATAGATTCCTTGGACTTACGTTGCTTTCCATTTTTACCACTGCAACCCTTACAGTCTCAAGTAGTGCCATTTTTGTCTCACTAAGAGAGACCTCTTGGATAAGCTGCATTAGGTTTTGTAGGATAGACGTTGAGAACGGTTGGAATACTTCCGCAGAGAATTCGAATGGGTCCAGAACCTGTCGAAGCTTCCTACCAGCCGTTACACGAACAACTTGATCGTTCATGGGGTCACTCTTATCCAGAAGGTGTTGGAAGATACCGTATACGGATGCTTTGTCAATGTCACTTGGTTTCACTGGAACCCATTGTCCGAGTATGACAGAAATTCTTCGGCGAAGGATATTATAGCCTGGACCCTGGATTTGAATTTCTGGTACGAGTGTAGACACCAAGAAAGTGTTGAAGTCTAAGTGATTCTCCAGACATGCAGCTGCAAGGCCAACAGCGGAATAAAGAGAGTCCTTTAATAAGATGTCTTTGTTCTGGGGGTCTAGTACATCGTCGGTTAGTTCACTTTTATAGCATACTATACCGTTATTCGACTTACTAGCATAGGTATAGAACACATTAAGCAGCTTTGGTATGAGCAGTTCTTTGAAATTGATAACCAGATCAAGGAATAGCTTCTCGGCACATGACCGAATTGAAAACTCCCAGGCATCTGTGATCTCTTCTTCTTGCTTCTCCCACTCTTCAGGTTCTTCTTCCCATTCCCTGAGATCACTGGCTTTAAAGACAAAGAAGCGGGTAACAAGTAACTCCATGACCTGGACTACGAAGTCCTCGTTGAAGATCTCGGACTTCATCAAGCTAACGCATTGATTTTTCTCCTCCTTAGCCTGCTGATTTTGGTATCTGAAAGTGTTCGTGGGATAGAATGCAATTTTTGCGCAAGCTCGAAGAAGCAGGAGGGCCTTGAGGCCGAGTTTTTCCAAAAGGGGCTTCTCGTCGTCATCTGCATCACCATTCATCCCAACCTTGAGCTGAGAGAAGTCAGTTGAGCCGTACATTTTGCCTAGTTCAACCACCAGCCCCCAGTAAGATTTAACCATATCAACAGCTTGTGGGAGCAGTCCAAAGGGCGCAGGATGGGTTCTGGCCATTTCTAAATGAAGCTTGGATAGCTGGATTATATGCTTCCCAATCAACTTCTCGACTTCTGAGGCCAATGTAGATGACTGCCTCTGAATTAAGGAGTAGAAGTTTCCGAGATGGGTTAAGGATAGGGTCCAAAATCCCGAGATATCGGACTCTCTATTTGGGTTCTCAAAGCCAGCGACTATTAGTCGTCTGATGACCTTGAGGGACATGAGACTTTGCTCAACTGCCTCTAATGCACCACCTTCATCGTCCCCGCCAGACTCCAAGAATGTGCCCCATTTTTGCACTTTATCGACGTATATGCTTGCAACAATATGGAGCAGCTCGGGGGCCGCAGATCGTAGTCCCCTTCGAGTTTTTTCTAATCGTCCGGTAGAGAGTTCCTTAATTACCTGGAGGAGGATCAAGAGAGTGCGGGAGAGCTGAACTGGATTGGCTCCGGGCCGGATGGACGCTCGAAGATGTTCTATTATTTCAGATATGGCTTCTGGCCTATATGTAGATTGTCAGGCATGCTCTCCAGGGAATACTAAAAAGGATAACCCACCATTCAAGAGGGAACTCTGCCCGCAATATTTTAGCCACAATCAGGGCATTCTGCAAGGCAAGTTGAGATGCAGGTTCAACAACTCCAGCTTCTATAGCTCTTCTCTTGATCTGATTTTTCTCATCTTGCTTGAGAGCACTACATCGGTTCCCCATATTAGCGCTTATTCCACCAAAATTGAACAGCCTGTCACAACAGAGGCATACTTGTTTGCTGTCTTCCGCCAGTACCTGTCTATACCGTTCTTTAGCTGAATAATTGAGAGGTATCGAACTTCGAAGGGAGTGGAATAGTCGGTAAAGACATCCTATCAAAAAGTTAAGGAGAAGCTGTTAGCCATCCGTCATATGTCGGTCAGTGTGAGCGGGGAGAACGAGATACCTGTAATAGCGAGTGAAATCCGGGCTGTCTTCCCCATTCCTGAAGCTGTGCAGTTCCGCTCTGGCGCTGCTGAGGCAACGAAGAGCCCGCCGTCGTCAAGGCATGTATAACGTTTGGAAGGGTCAGTGGGTTAGCTTCCCCTGGTACCTCGATAGCTACTTGCATGATGCCACCAGATCGAAGCAGAAACGGCAATGAAAAGAGAAAGACTGTCAGGTCCTTGAAGAGAGCAAAACGCTCATAGCAAGATGTCTCTCCAGAATGGCTGAGAGGATGACGGCTTCTTTAATGCAGTGGGTAGTTAGGGAGCTGGCAGAGAGAGAGAGAGAGGGTCCGGTCTCTCTCTTTTTTTTTGATAGTTAAATCAATATTGATCAACCCCACCACGTCGATAGAACTAAACTTTTAGTTAGGCATAAATAGCTTCGTTAACTAAATATTCAAAGCTAGAGCTAGAGAGGGCCTGACTATGCGGCTTTGTGGGGGTGAACTCAGCGCACCCAGGGCAGCAGAAGAGGGAGAAATAAGCGCCTATAGCAGACTGTTTTAATAGATATGGTCTTTGTCTAGTTAACTAGTTTATTGGTTAGCTAGAGAAGTCTCCCTAGTTCCTTACTAGGTTAAATGGAAGCTCTGTACATTCCTATATTATTTAGCAGACAAGAAGCTCTCTCCATACTACAACCACAAAGATATATTCAGGGATAATGGACGGAATATAGAATATATCAATTATTGAAATCTACAAGAAAAATTTGGTAGCAAAAATGCTGGTCTCTTTTTGCTGCTTTTACTAGGCCCCGGCAGTGACTATCACGTGACAGCTGAACCTCGGCTCAAAGAAAGCAGCCTGGACGAGAGGAAAGACTGACGAGGAGAAAGACGAGAGAAAGGACGGACAACGACGCCGACCTTTTGACGGAGGAGATTCAGAGCTGGTTCAAGGGCATAGCCTGGCCGAAGATGCCCCCGCGATGACTTCCGCAAACTTCGCTGCAGCACAAGAGCGTGTGTTGGAACGGCGCCGCCAACGCGAGCTCGAAGCTCGAAATCGGCTCGCAAACAGAACATCGCGACTCCCGGCCGCAGCCAGCAACCTCCCGTACCCCCTATCCAGCCTGCCTAATCGCGGACTGGCGCTATGGGATACCCTTAGAGGCAGAGAAGGGACTAGACCGGCATTCCGGGTGGGACAGGTCGATGCAGAGTTGCTGGATGAAGAGCTTATAACCTTGCTCAAGGGGCAGGTCGGAGAAGGGTTGAAATACTTCGGTGTAAGGCATATCCTCAACTAGAAGAAGAGACACAATAAGACTTTGGCTGATGTCGGTTGTTATAGCGCCATATACGGGACGACTGGAACCATGAGATTGACCTGGTGCTTCGTGCGATCCTTTTCAAGCTGTCGGTATGGGACCATAATGCCTCGTACGGCGCAGCTCTCCAAAACTTGAAATACACCGATAGCAGAAGTAAAGGGCCTGTACATTCAGATCCAACCAAGCTTCAAAAGTCCTTATATGGACTGCTGACGGTTGGTGGACGTTATGCGTGGGACAAATGGGAAAGCTGGATAATCCACCAAGGGGGAGGCTATGATGAAGTGCGTTTCGTTCTACATCCCAACATCCAACAAAAAATTGGTAAAGGCATAGCTGACCAGCGCTTTTGTTGATAGCCACAATCTTCCAACACGCGAGCACTGTCAAAACTCACCTCTCTCCTCTCCACCGCTCACTCAATTGCCGCCTTTGCATCCTTCCTCATTTTCCTGGTTAACGGCCGATACAGAACACTAGTCGACCGACTGCTATGCATGCGCTTAACCCCGCCGTCGATGCAGGTTAGTCGAGAAGTATCCTTCGAGTATCTTAACCGACAGCTCGTCTGGCATGCATTTACAGAGTTCCTCTTGTTTTTGTTGCCCCTTGTTGGAATCGGGCGCTGGCGCCGATGGGTGTCTCGAGCATGGAGAAAGACCATGTCCTCGCTCCGAGCCACTGGCGATGAGAACAAGGAGAAGAACCAGGGTGAACTTGGTTTCTTGCCTGAGAGGACATGTCCTATATGTTACCAGGCGCAGAACCCTACCACCACCTCGGAGAGCGATGTTATGGGCCCCGGAGCTGCGTCAGGCGGTATCATTGGCTCAGCTCAGACAGATATCACGAACCCCTATGAAACCGTGCCATGTCAGTGTTTGTACTGCTTTACATGCATTGCCCAGAAGCTCGAGGGGGAGGAAGGAGAGGCATGGACCTGTCTCCGGTGCGGTGAGCTTGTGAAGCAGTGCAAGCCGTGGAATGGAGATGTGTTGGAAGAGTCTCAGCCGCAACCACAGTCCGCTGCTGCTGCGGCTACCGCCGTTCGGAAGAACGTCGAGTTTGCTGTGACCGACAGCCATATTGAATCCTCAGACACCATGGATGACAGTGATTCGGCGGCTCGTGTTGATATTGATGACGGAATGAATGAGACCAGCCCATGGGCGGCTGTCGGCGTCGAAGAAACCGATGACACTAGCGTTCACACCGAGCTGGACTTCAGAAAGTAGTATATCTGCCTGTTTCAGACCGTTTTCCCCCCTTCTTTTCTTCTTCTTTTTCTATATACACACTCTGTATTATTTTTTTTGCAATATTGATACCACAAGCTTTTGTCAAGACCTTTCTCGTCGCATACTGGCCCGGATCGCCGAAAATAGGTACCTAGTTATATGTACTCCGTATTGCAGGCAGCTATGGGGGTTTCTAATATATCCAACAACAAACACCCCCTTGTAAGAAATGCAGCTCCGCATCCTCATATTAGATCTAATATATTATTAATTATCTGTCCAATGGGCGTCTCAGCGCGGCCTGCAACGGCCAGCATCTCTCTCCGTGACTCCGAAGCTGGCTTGAATGTTACCAAAACTCGCATGCCATGAAAGTACCCACACCGAGAGACGACGCCCTAGGCGCACACCAACTCCATCGAAGCACAGCCTCGGCCACGAATCAGGAGCTGGTTTTATCCCGGGCTGAAGTCTTTCTGGCAAGGACTCACAGCTGTACGACGATTTGATCTACAAGAACCAAGGGTTGAGCCGGCCAGGCTGCAAGATTTTCCGCTGGCAGGACAAGATCTAGACAAGCCGCCCTCCGCAGTGAACGAGAGCCGAACGTCATCCTGGGACGTCATATCGAAGGCTATCCAGCTTTTAACCTTGGTTAGGTGGCGAGTCCCTTGTCCAATTAAGCAAAGCTTCAGACGCAGCTCGACGACCAGCCGGGTGTTTATAAGTGAAAGGCTGGTACCAGGTGTTCAGCCTACTGCTCCTTCGCAAAAGATCCCCCCTACGGTTCTGCAAGACATCCAAAGTACCTATACTACTATAGGACTCGACATAAACGATCTACCTTCAAGGATTAAATTCTCGTCTCGGCTTTTGCAACCATGCCTGACGTTTCAAACTGTGTGCGGACGGCGCAGGTGATCGGGCTCACGACATCTGGGCTGATGGCTGGTAAGAACTGATCCAACAGAACCAGAGGCAAAGCACAGCATATAGTTATAGCCAATGCTATAACAATCAGCTGAGTGCAGGAAGGCGGGGTGGGCAAAAAAGGAAAGAAAAGAAGAAGAAGAAAAATAGATAGCTGACATGAACCCAGGCTCGATTCTCACCTACTCGACCGCGCTGATACCTACCATCACTCTTCCATCTGGCAGCGGCCCGGCCAGCTACGACTCCAACCACAAACCTGGCAGTCCCATCTCACACATCGCCACTCAATGGCGCCATGCCTATAACATTGGCAAGAGCTCGATGCCCTTCTGTGCGATTGGGGCGGGCACTGCCTACGCCTATCTCTCCTATGTCTTCCGTCACGAAACGACTCTCCGCCCTGCCGACACGCGGACCTCGAACTGGTACCTGCTCGCCTCCGGACTGGTGATGTCCATAATCCCCTACACACTGCTGGTGATGAGCCCGACAAACAAGAGCCTGCTTTCTCGCGCCGAGGTGGCGGATGCAGAGTCGATGACCGGTGTGTCCAAGGCAAAGGAGGCTGCCTCCAAGGCCAGCGGCGACTCCAAGGCGACCAGGGAAGATGTCGAGGTCTTGAATTGGCTCAAGGGCTGGGCTGAGTTGAACGTTGTCAGGTCCCTGTTCCCCCTGGCGGGAACGCTTGCTGCACTCTATGCAACGCTCTACTAGGCCTCCTTTCCTTCCCGTCCCCCGTCCTTCTCCCATGCCGTGTCATGCCATGTACGGGGGATCAAGGACACCATAAATTCATAATTATATCAGGCATGGCATCTCTATCGCTCAGCGTTGGTTTTTTCGGGGCCTGCCTTTGTGTCTCTTGCCTGCCTGTCCGCCAGTCTGTCTTGTATGTATGTATGTAACTATATAACCAATATAGCCAGGGCTCTCGGTCTGCAGGAAGCCTTATTTTTCTTTTTGTCCTCTCTCCGATCCCTCTGCCTCTGCGAAACAGGGACTGCAGAGTCGCACCGAGTCTTAATATTCCTCTCTTTTCTTCTTCTTCTTCTTCTTCTGCTGTTGCTGCTGCTGCCTCCTTTCTTGCTTTGCTTCTGCTAGTTTTCCCAGATGACGTCGTGCATGGTCATGTGATGGCAATAAGATCCATTGGACCTGGAGAGAAATAGTTAACCAACCAACAATAATTAACGCCCTCGCCTTTTTTTTTCTCTCGTCGAGCAACCTTTTCAACGTCGAAGGCTCAGCACCGCGAGTGAGCATGAGGGACAGCGAGTTGAAACAAGATGGAGGAACCAAGGATGAGGCTGTAGAGGTCGTACGATCACATCTGGCACTACCACCGCCCGCCACGGCTACTGAAAGCCCCCCTTACACTGCCACAGAGACGCGGGAAAACTCCGAGTCGCTGCGGTCTTTGCCCCCTCGCTCGCGATCTCTTCTCGTCTGCTTCTTCATCGAAAGTATATGTACGGACTAAAATCTAAACTGCATGCACACAGCAGCAGCGCAAGGCCAATAATCCCTGCCCACGGACAGCCAGCATATTAGGTAAAAGCAAGTTGAATAAAGCGAGAGGTAAAGGGGGAAGACCACAGCAGTGTCGAGACACGCCAATTGGCCGCTTGCTGGTGTCTCGCTGACTTGTCCGACCCTCAGGCGTCGTTGCGGGACCAGGGTCGAGCCGGTGTGAGTGTGAGTGAGTTCATGCCCGTGAGTGTGCCGGGGACTGAGTGCGAGCGAGTAAGGAAGTGTGATTGACCTGAGTTGCGGGAGAGATAGAAAGCGGGAGAACGACAAGAGAGCCACAGCGAGAACGAGAGTGTGTACAGGGTCCGTTTTTGTGTGCGCACGAAGGCGGCTTGGTTGGTTTGCCTGTTTTGCCTGCTGGGCTTTCTTTTCGAGCGAGCTTGCGCAGGATAAAAAGCAAAGAAAAGAACTGCAGCAAGGGCTCGCAACTTGCTTCTGTGGCCGTTTCTGACCTTTAGTTATCCTGAACACCGCACTCGATTATTTTTTATTATATCTTCCTTGCCCTGGTTGGTTGTCTGGCAGTCGGCCGTTGCTGCTGTTGCGTCTTGATATACATATATATATCTATATATACATATATATTTAGGCCGGCGGGAGAAGTGAGAGGAGAAAAAGGGAGTAGCCGGTTGGATACCTGATATATCTTATATATTTCGTATATCCCGCCGCCAGCTAACAACCTCCGCTTATAAAGAGGCCGTTTCGAGTTTAACATCCCTGTCCCCCTTTTCTTTTCCTTATATAAGAAAGAGAGAGAGAGAGAGAGAGAGAGAGAGAGAGAGGAAAGATAAAACGGCCCGGGCCCTTTTTTGCACTCGATTGTAAAGCCCAGCATGAGCTCTACAGAAGTTAATGGCGTCGGTGGTGAGAAGCGGGAAGAGAAATACGTCCAGTTCCCCTGCGTTGACGACGATGCGACTCGGGAGGGCAAGCCGGTGCTAAACAAGTATTCGCATTTCATCACAAAGGACCATGACTTTCCCGGAGCTCAGGTACGCATTTATTGTTATAGTCATCATCATAGTCCTCGTCGGAGCAGAGAGAGAAAGAAGGCATACATGGGACCAAGCTGACATTTGGAACAATGGGGTCTAGGCCATGTTGTATGCTGCTGGGGTTCCTGATAGAGAGAGCATGAAGAACAGTCCCCAGGTAGGCATTGCGTCGGTATGGTGGGAAGGCAATGCCTGCAACATGCATCTGCTGGACCTTGGGAAGGCTGTCAAGAAGGCCGTCACCTCCCTGGGGATGCTGGGCTGGCAGTACAATACAATTGGCGTCTCTGATGCCATCACTATGGGCCATGAAGGTTCGTTCAAATCAGATATGTACATACATGTATATGTACATCTCCAATAAACTGTTCACGGACCTATGTCGAACTAAACGTCAGCCACTGTCTAGGTATGCGGTTTTCCCTGCAGTCAAGAGAAATCATAGCCGATAGCATCGAGACGGTCACCTGTGCGCAGTACCACGATGCCTGCATTGCGATTCCCGGCTGCGACAAGAACATGCCGGGAACCATAATGGCCATGGGTCGCCATAACCGACCATCGCTGATGATCTACGGTGGTACGATCCAGATTGGCTATTCCAAAGTCTTGCGGCAGCCAATCAATATATCGACGTGCTACGAGGCTGCGGGAGCTTATGCGTACGATCAGCTCAAGCAGCCAGAGGATGGCGGCGACCAGAGTAAGACCAAAGACGAGATAATGGAGGATATTGAGAGACATGCCTGTCCCAGTGCCGGTGCCTGCGCGGGCATGTTCACGGCCAACACCATGGCTACCGCCATCGAGAGCATGGGTCTCTCCCTGCCGGGCTCATCGTCTACCCCAGCAACAGCCCCAGCCAAGATGAGGGAGTGTGTCAAGGCGGCGGAAGCTATCAAGACATGCATGGAGAAGAACATCCGGCCTCGGGACCTGCTCACCAAGAGATCGTTTGAGAATGCGTTGGTGATGACGATGGCGTTGGGCGGGAGCACCAACAGCGTGATCCATTTCATCGCCATGGCCAGGTCGGCGGGCGTGGAACTGACCATCGACGACTTCCAGCGTGTCAGCAATAAAGTCCCCTTCATCGCCAACCTCTCGCCCAGCGGGAAGTATTATATGGCCGACCTGTACGAGATCGGAGGCACCCCGTCCGTCCAGAAGCTGCTCGTGGCTGCCGGCCTGCTAGACGGAGACATCCCAACAGTGACAGGGAAGACGCTGGCCGAGAACATCGCCTCTTTCCCTTCCCTCTCACCGGGACAGGATATCATCCGTCCTCTCGACAACCCCATCAAGGCCACTGGACACCTGCAGATCCTGCGAGGGAACCTCGCTCCGGGGGGTGCCGTGGCCAAAATCACAGGGAAAGAAGGCACCAAATTCACCGGTAAGGCTCGAGTGTTCGATCGTGAATCTGAACTGAACTGTGCACTCTCCCGCGGCGAGATCCCACGGACAGAGAACCTGGTCCTCATCGTCCGGTATGAAGGCCCCAAGGGGGGTCCCGGCATGCCAGAGCAACTCAAGGCCAGTGCTGCCCTCATGGGCGCCAAACTGACCAACGTCGCCCTGATCACAGATGGACGGTACTCCGGTGCCAGCCACGGCTTCATCGTGGGCCATATCGTTCCCGAGGCAGCTGTGGGAGGTCCCCTGGCCATCGTCCAGAACGGAGACGTCATCACCATCAACGCAGAGACGAACGAGCTCTCGATGGCCGTCTCTGACGAAGAGATTGCAGCAAGGCTGAAGGACTGGACGCCGCCGGAGCCGCGAGTCACTCGGGGTGTCTTGGCGAAGTATTCTCGATTGGTTGGAGATGCGTCTCACGGTGCGATGACCGATTTATTTTGATCGAGGCATGGCTGGCAGTGCTTTTTCTTTTCATCGTCTTCATCCCGGCATGTCCCCTTTTAGGTAGTTATCATCATAGAACGTCGAACAAAAAAAAGGGGGGGTGAGTAGTTAGCTAACCGACGCAACACACAAAGGAGGGAGAAAACATCCAACAAAAAAGAGATATATAAAAGGAGATAGAAAATAAGATCAAAGATGAAAAACTCCCCCCAGCTGAGGTTTTCTTTGGACGAGGGAAAAGACGTGTGTGTGTGGCATGGAGTGCCAGCCTTGTCCATGCCATGCTCAATCAGGGGTTGCCGTTGATCGTATTCTCCCAGAGAAGCCGTTTTGGCCGGTCAGCAGCGATGATCCGCGGGTATCAACAGAGCTTCTTTGCCCTTCAGAGAGCAAGGCAGCCCTTTATTATTCATTCGATGGCCCTTTGTTTGATATATTGATCATCAACGAAGGTCATTGTGGGAAATCCGTGTAGAGTCCTCCTGTGGTGATTATCTATTACACTGAACAAAATAAGCGACAGGCTCAAACTACTGCTTTATATACCATTAAACAAGTAACTTATTTAGTTAAACCGCAAGTTCCATGGCCATTAATTAAGACTGACATGAAAGGGAAAAAAATCAGAGAGGAGAAAATGACGTGGTTTCTGGTGGAGATTGAAAGTGATGCGGATTTTTTTCTTCGTCCTCGTCCCTCGACCGTTTCATGTCTTGCTTGGGAGACAAGCTTGACCATATTAACTAACTAACTAGTTATTATTATTAGCTATTGTGTCGAGAGGAAAAGGTCACATCCGACCCGCATCAGCCTCGACTAACTAACTAGCCAACTAGTTGGCGAGATAAGTTGGCTAGGCACAGCTCGGCCAGCTGGTAACGAGCTAACTACCTGCCTGCTCCGCCTGTTACAGCGCAGAGTGAGAGCCTGTGGCACAGGCAGAGGGACAAGGAGCTGATCCGCGGGTAGATACATCCGTAAGTAGCGCCCATGAGCCAGCTTGGTTGCCTGCCCTGCCAGTAATTAACAGCCTGCTAGCTAGTTACTCGTTTCATAAACAGCTGGAGAAGGCACCGGCGGCTGGACGGCGCTGCCTCGCTGCATCATTCAACACACACTCACAAGTTACATAACTGCCCGCTCTTTCACCCTCTCTCCCGCCTGTCAACATCGCCCACTCTGCCGTCGGTGTGATCATGGCCTGTCATCCGCTGCCTGCCTGTGAAGCTCGTCAAGTGATACCGGCCTTCTAGCAGGGTGGTGACTCGCTGGCTTGGCTTGCGTTGACTGCGTTGCGTTGACTGGTTAACGAGCAACCAAAAGTCGGCCTGGGGCGGCTGGAAGTATCTACCATCCTCAATACAGCCATTTTATAGCCGACATTTCCTCCAGCCACTGGCATAATTACTTTGAAAATACCCCAAATATCACTGAAGCAGCGCCGGAGTTACGGCCATGGCAGCCAGGTTTCAGGTGCCGACTGTCGGGCTCTCCGCCAGTGACTCCCTGTTGGAGAGCATCCGGGAGTCATGCTACAACCAGGCATCGCGGCTGATGCACTACATCCTAGACTTGAAGGACCGGGTGGACCTAGGCCGTTATGTGGGCTTCGGCGGCTACTACCAGATGTCCGCTACCATCGCCCTGCTTCTTATCGGCGGTGGAATCGTTTCGTGGAGGCTCCTGAATTATGGCCCTGATGGACGGCGCATCCTTAACTCGAGGACCATATCCGTACGCCCCCGAAAACCACGGGAACGGGATGATGCAGCATGGGCTTACGCTACATCACTCTTAAGAAGGGCTTCATTTCAACGCCAAGATGATAATGGTACGTTAACATCCCTTTAGACAACTGACTTGCATTATACAGCGTTGCTGAACATCCTAGGTGATATAGCATTTTCAGACCCTGGGATACTGAAGAAGCACTCCTCTTACCATTCATATACCACTTCAGTGTGCACTTATCCCAAAATCCGCACATTCTACTACCCCCATCCTCATACAGAGAAGTTCCCCACGAAACCCAAGGTCCTCCCCTTGCTGGTATTTATCCACGGGCTAGGGGGCTGTTTAGCCCAATTTAACCATCTATTGCACAGCATGATAACTGTGGGCCCGTGTTTTGGCATCGATCTCCCTGGCTGCGGTTTGTCGACGTTTGCTCCACGGAAATGGTCGGCCTACTCCATTGAAGCCCTGACCGAGCTCGTGGCCAATGCAATTGAAAAGCACAGAGACGCTTCTCGCAACCAAGATGTTATTATCGTTGCACATAGCATGGGCTGTTCCATCGCGGCCCTTATGGCATCTTCTGAATCTGAATCCATGGTTGAAGTGAAAAAGCACATAGCTGGGATAGTTGCCATTTGCCCCGTTTCCGAGCCTCCTTCCAAGGAGTCGGTGAATCTGTTCAAAAGAATTCTATACCTCCCCGACTTCATATTTAACGTGTGGCGCTGGTGGGACCGTATTGGAGGACGTGATAGTCCAAGCGTCCGAAGACTTGTCAGTCACCCAGCTGCCCCGGAAACCCTTGATCTCCAATATCGTTATAATCTACTGAGCCGCACCCCAGTATGGAGGCGGATGGCATGGGGCTCTCTTCCAAGATACGGTAAGCTCGGTCAGCCAATCAGTGGCATTCCTGGGATGGATACGTGGGAATCAATACATATACCCCTCTTCTTTGTTGCAGGAGAATCAGACGGGGTCACAAAGCCGAAGGAGGTTGCAACGCTGCTGCGTTACTTTATACTAGCTAGACCGGCTGCTGGTGATGATGGTGGTGAAGCGAGTGCCAGAGCGATGAGTAACGACCTGCCCACTGGAATACTGCTCCATAATTTCGTGCAGGTGCCCGAAACAGCAATTGACCGGCGAATCCATCATGAGGGTGCAACCTGGCTTGCTAATCCAGATGGAACTCAGGTCCTGGACGCCTACGTGTTTCCAGCACCAGCCTCTCACTCCTTGCTGTTTGACCTGAACACCTACCGGACATTGTCAGGCCTTATCCAATCTTTTGTAGCAGCCAACATCGATCTTCGTCTATCCGCTGGGTGGCAGCTGCAACATCTAAGTACGTCTGGAAAATGGGATGTGAAGAATCTCGCCAAATGGCAGGCTGTGACTCCCGTATCGGAGCCCTTAGGGCATACCTTTGTTGCCATGAAGACGTTGCGTGGGGTAGACACCCACCACTCTCCAGAGGCATTCATCAAGGACTGGGGTGGCAAGATATACGCTGTTATTGATATCAGCCATGAGAGCCCGGTATACGACCCCACACAGCTAGAGTTGGGTGGCATCAAATATTTCAAACTCCCTACCGTCTCGAAGATCCCACCGTCTACAGACGAGGTCCGAGAATTCATGAAGATAGTCAGGAAGTTGAGGGAGGAGATGGTAATGAAATTCAGGCCGATAAGCGGGCCAGCTAGTCTTCCCAAGATCGCTGTCCATTGCCATTATGGCTTTAACCGAACAGGCTTCTTCATCGTTTCGTGGTTGATCGAGGAGGAGGCGTATCTGATCTCACAGGCTCTCGAGGAGTTTGAGAGGGTCCGTCCGCCAGGGATACGCCATGAACACTTTATAGACGCCTTGCATGCGCGTTACCATCTGCTCGATCATACGCGTCGAAATTCTCAGCAGCACTCCCGTGTTGCAGCAAGGAGAGACTACTAGGTAACTAGTTAGGTATCTCTGCTGTAGCGGCGCCAACCAGGCATCGCGTAACTCTTTATGGTCTTATAATATATATAATTAGTCTATAGAATTCAATTCCACATCGCTTCGTGCCATAATTAGCGTCGTCGGTGTCTTTCATCTTCACCACTAAGTACTATCGCCGTCGCCATCGCCGTCACCGTCGCCATCGCCGTCGTCGTCGTCAAATGCGTAACACGTGATTTACACGTGACTTTCTAAGCGAACCCACTTTTTTCTCTTTCCACACAGGGCCGAGTCTTGGCGCACACCAAAGCGAAAAGCGACTGTGGAAATTTCACGACATCGAAATCTGAAGATATTGAAGAACCGCCCCGTGTGTGCGCGACGACGACAACGACAACCTCACGCTCTCGCCCTTAAAGACACCGAGTCCCTCTCCCTTCGTCAACGACATAGTTTGTCCCGCCGGTTCCAAGGTCGCAATCATGGGTGGCATTACCGTTCGCGATGTCGATGTAAGTTCGCCAATACAAAAGTCCATAGGTGGCTCTGGTTGTCTGCTGCGTGGGATAGATGGTCTTTCTCGGGTGGATGGTTTACTTCAACCCCTACGGTGATGATTCATGAGCATGCGAGGAGCGTCCGGTCGCCGAAATGCAATAACCAAGCTGCTATGAGAGCAGCGGATGTGGATGGATCTACATATTTTGGCCGGTTCACCCTGTGGCATGGAGATAAGCTGTGGGATCGAGCGCTTTACGACAATAAAGGAAGACGGATGTTCTAGGAGAATTCAGCAGACTTGTCCAGCCCGTGGAGGACCATACTTGCGCAGCAGACAATGGAGGGAGCTGGTTTCTTGCATACACTGCCTGAAATATAACTAACAATGTCTCTTTACTTTCTATACAGGCTCAAAAGTTCGTCGAGGCATACTCTGCTTTCTTGAAGAGACAGGGAAAGCTCCCAATCCCAGGTTCGACATCTCAAATGACTGTTATCTTGTTGAAAGCATGTTAACAGTATTTACTAGGTTGGGTTGATACCGTCAAGACCTCGAACTCCAAGGAACTCCCTCCCCAATCCATTGACTGGTACGATCTACTCTCATAACACCCCAATGCCACCGTGAACCACGCCAAATATACTTTATATCTTGCGCAGAAACCTATGTCTTCCCAGTACTTACTCCATCTTATATAATAGGTACTACGTCCGTGCTGCCGCTGTTGCCCGACATATCTACATGCGCAAGACCGTCGGTGTCGGCAGCCTACGCAAGGTCCACGGTGGTCGCAAGAACCGCGGCTCCGCTCCATCCCACCACGTCGATGCCTCCGGATCCGTTGACCGAAAAATCATGCAGTCTCTTGAGAAGATCGGTGTCCTTGAACAAGATGAGGAGAAGGGCGGTCGCAGAATCACCCAGAGCGGCCAGAGAGATTTGGACCGCATTGCCAGGACGACCATAGAAGAGGACGAGGATGACGAGTAAAAGTATTCTCATGTGGGGGATAGTTTGTGTGCTGTGAGACGATTGAAGTAGAGGGAGAAGAGGGCCGGAAGACAGAATAGGAAAATGACAGAAGGCCAAAATTCTTAATGTTTCCCTCAAACAAAAGACGATATCACGGTTTGGTAAAATAAATTTTCTACTTTTCTCTTCTTTTATTCATGTCATGCAGCTAGCGAGTTCTTGAGTGGAAGGGAGAGATTATGCCATGGATAGAAGGCCCGTGAAATCTTTTCCCCCCTTGATTCGACACTCAAACTCGACATTTGCAGCAGTCCCATCGATGACATGTTGATATGATGGCCAAAACGTCACCTACTTCCGACTTTCTATATCCACCTTCAAATCGAGCTTCTGGCCTTATTATTCATATGTGCTCTCTATCTATGACCATCCATCACGGCCTTGAACATATCTACCTTGAATTTAATAAAGAATAAAAAATCTCCTAAAAACATATGAATTGCCTTTGGTATTAATCTCACAGGTTCTTTACCCTTAATCTTCTTTTCAGGAATCAACACCCTTAACTACAGGACAATAGGAACAGACTAAACATAAGGAAGCACAAAGGACAGGCTCAAAAGTACACTAACAGGGACCTCCTAATCCTTTGGCACAAGACCACCAGCTTCCCCTTGCCCTAAGGCAGGCCAACCGCCAATATCAACCCTTACATGTATGGCTTGTTAGGCCAAAATCAGAAAAGAAATTAAAAGAAAAGAGAAGAAAAGAAAGAAAGAAAATAAAAACAGGAGGTAACAGAATAGAACAGAAACATAAGATCAGATAGACAACAAAGGTAGGCACGTAAAGTACTTCTGACAAGATGGTGTGAGAGGAGTAACTAAAGAAGAAGAAAGTAAGATATCGTGAGAATATCTTTAGCACATAGAGATGGTGGGAACAGTCATCGCGTGGTTGTATCAGTAGTTAGCGCTCCTTTATTCTGGCACATCTTGGATGTTCGCGCCAACTCCCCCGAACCATTCATGGACTTGAGTTCTTGGGCCATTTGGATTGACGTTAAGTACTGGGACTCTTCCGGCTAAAGATGGAACTGGCCGAAGGTCAGCTCCGAAGAACATTGGCTGGCGTTCTCTGGGCTCCACTGGACTATAGCGGTTCACCCACGGCTGAGGGTTACTGGAGGAAGATGGACCTGGAGCGGCTTCTTCCAGGATACCATTCTCAACCTCGCTCTCCATTTCTGGGGTATCACTTTCGGGGTATTTGTTCTCCTTATTTTCCTCTTCAGGCCCGGGACTGGTGCTGGGGGTGTCAAGGTCGTCAATGATAATAGGAGACGTTGGCTGTTCTGGCAAATCCTCTGGTGTATCCTCTGGTTCATCTTCCCAGATTCTGGTTCTGCTGGCTGTATTCTGCTGGGAGCTGGTGGTATTACGCCCAGGGAAGAGTCTGTTGAAAGCTTCATGACCGATAACATTGGCAAGAATCGGATCAGTGTACCAGGTATTCATGTCCTCCGTAGCAATGGGGTGTGGGTATGGGGTATCATCGTTGTACTCCATATCATCATTGTTGTTGTCATCAGCGTGGGTATCATCAGTAGAAACGGAAGATGTTGTTGCCTCGTCACCATCCTCGTTTCTAGCTTCCTCAATTTGAGCTTCAGATTCATTATCAGACCCATTGCCTTCTCTATCTTCATTGCTCTCATCGCTGGTCTCTTCAACTGATTCTGCATAATAAAGATCATCAAGGTCATAGTAGTGCACGCTTTCGGACGAACTACTACCTTCTCCTGGAAGTTGAAAGGCGTTGTTTTGGAAGAGACTATTCCCTTCAGTCTCGTTCTCAATCATTGCAATAGATTCCTCATCTGGAACCCAAACTCGGCTCTGCATATGGCTCTCAATGGTATCAAAAACGATCTCTGTAGTAAGAGTAAGTTAAGCACAATATACCAGCATTTCTAGGCTCTGACCCCTGGCTTGTTCATTGGGGATATCGAACAACTTACCACCAAAGGTCCTAGGGTCAACACTGTCTAGACTGGGGACTTCTCCGTCATTATTTGGCTCAAAGACGGGAGCTCCATCGGATTCATCATCATCAAAGTTGCAGTCAGTAGACGCTCCACTGTCATCAGAATCACCCTCGTAGCCATCATCTCCAGCATCCCCACCATTTCCATGGCCGTTACCGTTGCCATTGCTATTTCCGTTGCCGTTGCCATTGCCCGGACCAAAGTCGCGGTCTGGTCTCTTTCCCTTCTTTTTACCTTCGGTATCTTGTTGTTTATCTTCGTCATCGCGCTCAGATTCATCCTCTTCATCTTCTTCCTCATCTTCTTCCATCTCATCCGCACCAAGCTCTCCTTCAGTGTCATACCCCCCTGAAAACTCACTCATGTCTCTATCTTGGCCTTCAGGAGCAAGTGCGAGGGTATCTGATGGCAAAGGGGTATCTCCAGCAGCCAGGCCCAAGTGAGGCACCTGGCCAGGCTGTTCCTTGATTGTTCCATCAGCATTACGCTTCTCACCCCTTGGAGTAGGCAGCTGGTTTGGTTTGCTGTGTTCTAAAGTCAGTAAGACTCCTACTATCTGTTAATAAAGCGGGAAGCACATACTTTGGACCCTTAGGAGGTAACTGAGTATCAGAAGGCATATTTTTAGGTTGCTTCCTACACTCTCCTTTTCACGCCTTGTCTTCTGGGTATCTGATATCAAAGATATGACTAGAAAGGCCTTTGATATATCAAAGTCGCGTTTCTAATCGCGAAATAGCAAGGTAAAAGCAAAAAGGCCCTATTTAGAAGGATTTCACCTAAGGAGAGTGTCTATCAGTATCAGACGCGAACGCGACCTTAACTATTTACTCCTGCTAGAAGGACAATGGGTAAACAAGAAGCAGGGGAAGCAGACCAAGGGTATTGACTATGAATGAATATTGTACTCTAGAGGAGCCAAATAGCTAGAGCTGAAGTTCACCAATGTAATCTTGTTATGGAGTATTTGTTTTCAAGAAGAAAGGAGGAGAGATGGGTCTTTTATATATTTGTGCGAGGACAGGACAGCTTTGATACCAATAGGGGTTAGCGTACTTTCTTGGTTAACAGACCCCTTTAGCGCGTTTTCCCTGTGAGGAGCATAAAATTGCTGGATAACTCCTTTTTCTACCTAGGACACTGGCAGCCTTGTCCTCTTGGAAGTATTGCTCCTTATAGCATCTCCTATAATATATCAAAAGTGGAATGCCCTTTGAATAGTGAAGGGGGGGCAATGAATAAGCCATATGACTATTATTTTGATATAGAGTGGTAAGCCTCTGCAGTTCCATGGATATGGGTATATAGAAAGGTCCCGATATATACATCATTTAAGCAGCAGGTATTGGGCTGGACCGATCAAGCTTCTCAGCCTAGAGTGATCAATCCCCCAATGAAAAGCCTTTATGGGATATTGTCACCATCTTTGTGGGTGGTTGGGTCCCAGCAGACATGATGGTATTCATCGGTATGGAGAGCTCTCATGTCATCTTGAGATAGCTCAAAGTCGAAGATATCGGAGTTTTCCAGAATGCGCTTCTCCGTTGCTGACTTCGGCAGAGGAACAAAACCCTATATCAATTCAATTTTCAGTTACTATGAGCCCACGAGAACGGTAAGTAATGGATCCTTACTTTTTGTAAACTCCATCTAACTAGAACCTGAGCAGGACTTTTGTTATGCTTCTTTGCAATTTCCTGGAGTTTTGGATCATCCATCTTCTTTGCCTGTACGAGTGGACTGTACGCTTCGATGACAATGTTGCGCTTCTGAAGCCATTCAACAATATCAGAACGAGTGAGCCACGGATGCAACTCATACTGGCCCACATCAATTTTACCCCCAATGGCTTTGTTGTACTCCTCCAGCTCATCCAGGTGGTGGACTCCATAATTGGAAACTCCAATAGAGCGGACTTTCCCTTCCTTTTGAGCTTCTACCAAAGCCTTCCAAGAACCTTCACGCTTCTCTTTACCACCATACGGTGCGTGAAGAAGGACCCTAGATTCCGCGTAAGTCAAATTTCTATACGACGAAGGATGTTATTGAGAATATTACTGCTTACAGATCAAAGTAGTCCACCTTGGCCTCCTTTAGGCTGGATTCAATAGCTTCCCTAGTAGGTTCATAACCGAGCGATCTCCATGGGACTTTAGTCGTAAAGAACACCTCTGAGCGCTTCAGTCCCGATTTTCGGATAGCTTCACCGCATTCAGCTTCATTGTGATAGGCTTTTGCTGAATCAATCTATCGCGGAACAATAAAGGTCAACATCGCAGCGACGCATTGGTTCACGAGGAGATGTGATTCGTAACATACGTGCCTGTAGCCCGTCTCTAGAGCCTTTAGAACACATTTTTCGGTGATATCCGGGGGTCTTGTTATTGTCAGTATTGAAACTAATGAGAATTAAACCGAATAACCTTACGTTTGGTACACCTATTCAATGTTGTTAGTAACCACACAGTGCGAGACGGAAGTTGGCCACTTACGCCAAATCCGACGACTGGGATCTCATATCCCGAGTTCATCTTCTTGGTGGACTGAATGTTTGATCTTGCTGCCATGGTTGCTACTTTTCTTGCGTTTTGACTCAATATTCCCACAAACGATGGAGTGGATGAAATAGACATCACCATGGACAGACGGACAAGGTTAGTGGCCATTTATATATGGTGGCAGCCGGCAAAACACTATCCGAGGTACTTAACGCCCCTTTGGTGCTTGGTATTCCTTGATTCAACCAGCCAATACCTAGCGAAAGCGCTGGCGAATCTGCTACGTTAGTAACATTAAAGGGCGGCTTGACATGCAGGGATAAGATGGCGTTAAGGATATTCCCCGATCAGAGGTGGGGGAAGCCGGTACCTACATATCTGATTCCCTTCTCCTGTACAACTAAATAACCAGTCACTTGATGTTTGTAACCTGGTATGTTGGTTATGTTTACCTACTTGTCTGGCGGGAACCATAAATCTAAGCTATGACGTCACAGGCTCCTTTTGCTGCTGTGTTTGGGCTCCAAGGTAAGTAGTTAACCACCTGCGAGATAAGTTACCACATGCTTCGAGCGATCGGTCTGCCTATGCTAAAACTTCACATAATCGCTTTTTGTGGCGTTAGGTGTTGGACGATGTACTCCCGGTGCTCTACTGAGTACAAAGAGCTGGAAGTATTGCTGAAAGCCTTTCGCAGCCATGTACATATGCGTAAGGCCAAGGGCGGGCCAGTCACCAGGCACTTGGTAGCCGGTAGGTAGTCATGTGTAAGATGCGAGGCTAGAGGAAGGCAGCAAGCTTCCGTCAAATATCAGGAAATACAGCTTAATAACCCCGATTGTCTTTGTCGATCATTCTCATTAAAGCCAATTCAGCAGGCCACACCTGTAGAAACTCTTGTGCTCGCCAGAACCAGTCATCTTCACCGTATTCAAATCCCATTGGGGATGCGGCACGAAAGAACTCCCAGTAACCTGGGTACCAACCTGCATTTGCCCAGTCCACGAGTATAATATCGAAGGATCGACCACTTTGGTCATCTATGCGGTTTGGATTTTCCGCAACCAAAATATTCTTCCGTTGAACATCTCCATGCGTTAATGTAGGTCGGTGTCCTTGGAGGGCACGCGGGAGGTAAGTTCATAGAAACGGACCTTGAAGTCTGGTCGATCGCTACATCTGATCACCGCTCTATGGTTACCAATAAAGCCGGCAATAAAAGCAGCTTCACCGTAGAAAGGTCCCAGGTATCGGTTGGCGGTATCTGGGCTGTAGAATAGGTGGTCTTGTACGCCGCCACCACCCAAGTCTCCAAAGAAATCAGGCCATGGGCACTTGACTTGCTGCATATCATCAAATACTTGACGGAGTTTGATTGAGATATCAATTTTTTCAGACTCGGTTAATGATGGCCAGATTTTATCAAGCTGTATCCCAGGTGCCCGCTGCATTATTAAGAAAATCTCGCTAGAGCTCTTGAACATCGCGTACAATCGAGGAGCTGGAATCTCTGGAGCATATCGTTCCAGGTAAATCAACGCCTGGCCCTCGCTAGCGTCTACCATCCTACCAAATTTGACAACAACCGCATCATTCACTGCTACAACTTTAGAGGAGTAGCATTCCCATAAGATGTTGGGGCAAGTCCGGATCTCATCTATGGTGGGCAGAGGCAGAGGCAGAGACAAAGAATCGCTTTGGAAAGGGATAGAAACAGGTTCCCACATCGTGATGGCTACGAAGAAGCCGGCCTATTAGTCGGAGCTGCGAGGGAGGTTGTTGAAGAGTTTGTTCTTTCGCTAACTCGCTGGACTCAACTACGTAACCCGTTAGTTATGGGTGATGACTAAGAAAACCTTGTTTCTCTCCAACGTCAGATATAAAAAGGGTTTGACATTCAATACTCGAACAAAGTGGTATGTCGATGAAAAGCAATAGTAGGAGGATATATTCATCCCGAAACCAGATCCATTTATTTACTGCCTGAATATCTCTTGATACGCTCTGTTCTCCTTTTGGTTATTCATTTTATCAGGATCTGTAGGCGGATTATTCACTTATATACATGTCAGAGCCCCGCTGATCGCACAGTTACGGAACAGATCCGTCGAACTGCCATATCGCAGTCAAATATAGCTATTTAATACCCTAGGAAGAAATACCGTTACCCAGCTCTGGAACGAGCTGTTTTATCCTCCACATAGTGGCGTGCTGCTTCTCCCGGTGCATCGTATAAAACGTTGTTTGGCACCGAAGCCAAAGCACTCTCAACGCTCCAGCAGCCTGCATTTATTTATCTATTTTATTGAATACTGGCGCTTCCTTGAGGGTAAAAATGCGCCTCATTAAGCAGAACATTGAGCGTAATGGCTCAGGCTCAGTCACGCTTTATCCTGAAGAGCCAGAAGATATGGTACGGGGATAATAATTTTCCCTCTGTTTTTTCTGCATTCATTTATCTTCTCCCTTTTTACCAACTCTTGTGATCTATTTGAGAGAGGCAATGCATAGTCATGGATAGTGAAAACCACTTGCTAATTCTACCTTACCTATGTTCTTCCTCGCCGTCCAGTGGCATGCATACAACCTAATACGACCCAATGACCTCCTAAAGGCTAGTGCAATACGCCGTGTCACCACTACCTCAGCCACAGGCACAACTGCCTCATCCAGGGTGCATATGAATTTACAAATACGTGTGAAGAGCCTTGATTTTGACATCCAGAGTTCCCAGCTCCACGTATCTGGCCAGATCGTCGTGGAAACGCCATACACGAAAATTGGTCAGCACCATACCCTTGATTTGGAGCTGCAGAGAAATTTTACCCTGGAAAAGGAGGTAGAAGGCTCATCTCTTCCAGGTGATGGACCTGGAACATCTGCCGGTGGATGGGATAGTGTGGCAATTGAGATGTTAAAAGATGCCGTTGATGAAGGGGGAAAGAGAAGAGCAGAAGCTGTAGCCGTGGTTATGCAGGAAGGCCTTGCCAATATTTGTTTCATTGGGCAGTTCCAAACCGTGCTCAAGCAGAAAGTTGAGCTTACCATCCCAAGGAAGAGGCAAGGGGGTAGTGATTATGACAAAGTAAGGATAAGATATAATACCCAATTCTTTCATACATTATTAACACTACAACATAGGCTTTATCAAAATTCTATCAGCTCACCTTGGATAATCTTCTGCGGCTCATTGAATTCAACAGCGCCACAGGCTCTTCCCTTGTTACCCCAGCCTCAGGGAGTGACACATCTGCAAAACCTATCCTTCTCGCATCTCCAGGGTTTACTGCAGCCGGATTCCAAAAACATGTGCAATCAGTTGCCAACACGACCACGTCATCTTTAAAGCCTCTTCTACAAAGCCTGATTGTTGTGCATTCGTCATCAGGACACATTCATTCCCTTAATGAAGTCCTGCAGTCCCCTGCCGTTCAAACAAGGTTATCTAATACAAAATACGCCCGTGAGACAGCACTGATGGATACATTTTACACCCACCTGCGGAAAGACACGAACAAGGCTACCTACGGCCCTAGCGAGGTGGAATCGGCAGTTGATCAGGGAGCAGTAGGAAGAGGAGGAGGTGTTTTGTTGATTTCCAATAGATTATTCAGAGCCCCAAATGTGCGTGAGAGGCAGCGGTGGGTGTCCCTAGTAGACCGAGTACGGGACGTAGAGGGTGGAGAAGTTCGCGTTTTGAGCTCTGACCATGAAAGCGGAAGGAGGTTAGATGGGCTTGGGGGTGTTGCGGCGATTCTTACATTTCCTATTGAAGACCATGATGAAGAGCACGATGAAGATGATTGAGATAATGGGAAACACATATCAGGTAACGTAACTACCCGGAATACATCCCAACGATATACTCCCAAGCTGGGCATTGGAAGATAGTAAACACGATAAGCCTCCGAGCTTCCCTGGCCATATTTCATTCCCGGCCCCAGCTGTTGGGTTTTTCGTTCGCTGCGTGATATGTTCTATGACAATGCAGGGTAGTCCCTGTAATTTCCCTCAAGCAAGAGCTGCAGCATTGAGATGCAATTAATCCGTGCCCCTTGACCACTTAAATCTTTATAAGCAACCGACACTCCCCTGACATTAGAGGCGAGGCACGAGGAGTATTTCCTTAAATGTTTAGTCGTACATTATCAGGAAGGATAATGGAGCATTTCGTTACGGAAAAGGCAACAGCCGTGTTTATAAGGGATGGCCAAACCATCCAAAAGGCATTCATCGCTAGGTAATCATCGACATTCCAGGCAGGGACATAACGTTGGATACTTGCAGGGATAAGAGGCAGATTATAAAGGAATTTAAGGGGAAGAAGATTTTCCTAGGAGAATAGGGGCTTGGAGCATAAATTAAAAGCGGACACTTGTGAACATATTCATTGGTAGGTTTCGAGTGGGAGAACCCTGACATCAGAGTTTATCTTCGAACACTCCACCGATATTTTCTCAACGTACCTGTATACACATAGGAAAAATGTAAATGCATGCCCGAGGAATATAAAATGATACATAGACATAGAACAATCTTTCCCAAAACGTAAACCAAGAGACCAGAGACCAGATAAACATAGAAATAACAAAGGGGACAGTGAAAATAAGTATTAACCGATATACCCAAGTCATTAGCCCGTAATATCAAGAGTATACTCCGTATTTATGTAGATAGGTGTGTGCCGCCCGCCAATGATAGTGAATAAGGGAGAAAAAATAAAGAAAAATTCTGAGTTCAAAGATATGCCGGGGTATCAAGAATGATGGAAGGCCTGTATAAAGCCATATAAAAAAGATGGGGGGGTTGAAAAATAGGTATGGATGTGCAGGTTGTGTGAGTTGACGATTGTAAGACTCTTTCATGAACGCCGTCTGAAAGGATAGCCCGTTGATGAGAAGGATATTAGTTACTGGGTTCGAGAACGCTTCGAGTAAATTTCTTCGTCATCGTCTTCGGCCTCAGCTTCTTGTTCTTCGCCTGATTCGTGCTCTTCCACATCTCTGGGACTGGTCTCTAGAGCCCGACTATGCGTTTGAAGTAATTCCCATTTTTGCTCACATTGAGAAGGAGTCCACCTCTTTGTAGCGCCAAAATCTTGTACCTATAAAGATAGCCAGTTAGACAACTTAGCTTCTCTGCGATAATCCATTCTATCACAGACCTTCTGTGAGATGATCTCGAATTTTTCAGTCTCCCAGTACGAATGAGCATTCTGAAGGGCTCGAATCTGAGAGAATATTAGTCCACCTGCTGTTTGTGACGAGGGAGAGGGGACAAGAGGAGTTGGAATAGGTACTAGATATCAATGTGTCAATGGGAAACAGGTGCACGTACTCACATCATCCTCAGACCACCCTTTCATCGCACGTTGCCATCGACGTGTTATTCGCATTTGAAGACGGGAGGCGGTATAGTTAGAATTGTAACGATAGTTTACTTGAGAAACGACCTCCTTCCACGGAAGTCCATCGTTCCTAAGATTTATAGCATAATCTGTTTCTTCTTCCAACTGAGTCGATCTTCTGCGAGTGCGTCGGCGTCGCTTAGGGTTGCGCTGAGGCTGTTCTTCCTGACAGATTTGTCTCTCCTGTTCTAACTGCCGGAGTCCCACTGGATTAGGGGCAATGGAGACTGGAGTAGGTCTCATAAGGACAGGTGTATGCGCTGGAGTGTGTGATGGCGCTCTAGACGCTCTCATATGTCCTCTTTCCCTTTCATAGTCAGTCGACTCATGCTCTGTTACGTTGCCCATCATAGGTCTATGAAATGGATCATATGAAGGTATGCCAGGCTGCACGTAGTTCAGCGCAGATGTTCCAGTGATTCCCAGTCCATGTTGCATTCCACTAGCTCCCATGGGAGGGTATCGTGGATCTTGATGCGGCTGAGGGCATGGACTATGTCGGGGATCAAGAAGGACACTGTCTGAGAGGCTGATTGGGGTGAGCATGGGTTGGTTTGCGTGTGAGTTTGACACATATGGATGGGAACTCGGTGTGTATGTCTAGTAGCAGTGAGTCAGTATTGAAAGAGCGGCACTGTAATGAGTGAGCGATAGGAGTCGCCCGCGTCCGTACCGTGCCGGGAGTAACCCATTCCTGGTTTTCAAGTATATTAGACATTTGGCCTTGAAAAGGTGATTCTTCCCAGGAGCTAGTAATATGGTCGGCTGACATGAGGGGCGCTATCAGCGGGCACTGAGGAAGTCGTATAAGGCAGAGTCTGACTGGTGATCTCTGCACTAGAGGAGGTATTGAAATATAGAAGAGATAGGTTTCCGATTAAGATGTGTAAATAAGATGTAAGGGGCAGGAGAGTAAGTAATGAGGCACCTTGTGATAGGCAGTTGAGCTTGAAGTTGAAAGAGTATTGTCCGAGTCCAACGTGGGAGTCTGGGTAGCTATATAAATGTTGCCGTCTTCTGAAGAACTGTGGACAACAGAGGCATATAGCTTGTTCAGTCAACGAGTAACGGGGAGCCAACTCTAGCGGGCCAGAAATATAGGCAAATCAGGAGCACAGACGATGCAACGAACGCTCCCGCATCCAAGATTTTCAAAATAATAATCTGAGGTCATCGTCCTTTTCTTCTTCTTCTTTTTTTCAAATATCTCTTTCTCATATACTTACTGCTTCTCCAGAGCGGGAACAAGAGAATAGAAAATTAAAGGTCCACATGCTGATATGACTGTGCCACTTCAGCCAGAGAAGGGCGACATGGTAGATCCGTTATGAAAAAATAAAAAAAAATGAAAAAAAAAAAAAAAAAAAAGAAGGTAGGGAAGGAAGAAGAATGAAAATTAAAAAGGCTGCATCTAAGCGCCGGCTTTTGGCCATCTTCAAGGGGGTGGGTTTGATCCATAGAGGGAGGTAGAATCAAGATGGCCCCCATTCGGCCTCAAGAGTCTGGGATGCGATTTTAGGCAACTGGCAGGGGGAGGTAAGTACCTCTGAGCTGCGCCTAAAACCCAGGCAGAGGCCATGAGCGGCCTGATTATTACCGTCCGTAACGGTTTGAGGCAGACCGTGGTTGTTGATGTCGATGCGGAGAGCAACGCCTCATCCTCTTCCTCCCCCTCTCCCCAGAAATGATATTCCAGCCAAAAGACACTAACGCGGGAATAAAGACAACCGGGGGGGGAGGGATGTTGCTCAAGAGGACCTTAGTAACATCCGACTCAGCGAAGGGGACATTTTTTTTTAGCGCAAGAAGGTTAAAGGAACTCGTTAAGAGAGCAAGACAGAGAGAGTGGGAGCAGAGAAAAAAAGAAAGGAAAGAAGAAAAAAGGAAAGGGGAAAAAATTCCCTCTTCCCCTGGCCTCGCAGCAGCGATTTCCGGCCGGCAAGGCTTGTCAAGTCAGGCCCGTGAGGAAGAGAAAGCAGACAGGGCAAAGCAACCTCGATCGTTGAGGCAGGCGACTGACAGGGAGTATCGACATCCATCCTATCACCGCTCAAGCCACTCGTCCCAGGCGGATGGAACCGAATCATAGCTGGCCCCTGTACGCAAAAAGAAACCATAGAAAGGCAAACCGTCTTTTGTGTTTTTAAGTTTTGCTGCCCTTCTATCCGAACTGTGTTGTATGTATTATCCCACTAAAGCGAGCATCTCAAGGGATGAGCAGCGGCGAACAATAATGTTAATGATGGCTATGGCCATGGCCGATATAGACGAGCCGTGATGCTCCGCAGACATATTACCGGCATATGCCCTTTCTGTGCAGGGGGCCACATATATTAATAACGCCCAGTCAGAATCGGTAGGTGAAAAGGGGCAAACCCTGCGGCGTAGGGCAGTATCCCCATGGGATGGGGTGAATGAGCCGGTGGCTCTGTACAGAGCTGCTCAAGGGATGGCGTGTCTGCTCTCCCTTTTCCTGCTTCCTCAGTTCCTGTCTCTTTTTTGCCGGGTTCTCTCTAGCTGTACGTAGTAACTAGTTGATCGAGCATGCATCCACCTGGGATATGCACGTCTAGTTCGGGGTTCGTACAAAACGAAAGGGTCGTCGATATTGTTCCGAAGCTGTGCCACTCCACTTTGAGGAGCCTTGGGGGCCTTTGCAAGTCCAATACGGAATGTGTACGGACCGAACGTATATATTTACTGATCTTCTTCAATTCACGTAAAAGTAAAGCATGAAAAAAAGAAAAGAGAAGAAGAGAGAAGCGAAAAAAAAAAAAAAAAAAAAACCTCTTTCCTTTTCCCCTCATGGGTTTTACTTTTTCACCGAGTCAGTAAGACTTCCGGAACAAGAAGTAAAAAAGGCCGCTGGAGGAGATTTGTACCCACAGCATCGAAAAGCGTTCGATATGAAAGAGATGGAGATGGCGTATATGCGAGAGAGGATCATTTTGCAGGTGGAGAGAGGGCTTCGAAGGAACTAGCGCGGATAATAACTAACCTATTAACTATTCAACAACCTTCTGTCTCTCACTGTTTCTCCACGGATGTTGGGTGCGGAGGGTGTATAGGGTTAGCATCCGTAGTATACAGTCTGTGGTTGCCTAGTCTCTAGCAAGGGCGGAATTGATGATCCAAAATGATCCGGACAGCATGATAGGGGATCTGCCATGCCTCTATGGGCCTTATTGGTCAAGGAAACCCTTTTTGGGGGGGCCGTTCTCTTTTCAATGAACCTCCGCGTGGCCGTTTTCGTGGCTAGCCGCCGGGCTTATTTCCCAACCAGGATGCGGCTATTGGTGACTCGCACTAAGAAAGGGAGCCTTAGGTTAGACCACGTATACATGGCGATGAACGCTATGTACGTGTTACTCCATACGTACGTAGTACTACGTAAATGGTGGGATGACGATGAGGCTAATGGAGGGGGGAGAGAGGCAGCCGTCATACGTTAGGGGGTCACTTTTCTGTCCAAGGAGATTGGCGAGCCTTTGAACGACAGCCAGGGTGGTTGTACCGAGAAGCTTGGCGGCAGTGGAGAGAAACGGTCGACGAAGGGGCCAGGGGAGAGACCAGAGAAGGACCAATAATAGTGTAAGAGTAAGATGAACGGTAGATGAACGATTATGGGGGAAGAAGATGGAGAAGACGGAGCAGACTGCCAGGGGAGGAGGAGAGACCATCGAGAGACAAGAGATAGATAGCGTGTGGATGTTGTCTTGTGTGCATGGATACAGCAAATGGTTTGTGGGGGTTGATAACTAGCACTCAAGTTTCAGTTCCTGATGGGCTCCGCCAAAGCTCGAGATGGGCCGTCCGTCCGTTCCCTGAGGAGGCTCTGGGCATGTCCATGTCCATACAGAGTACGAGACAAGGAGAATAATGGCCCAGCAGAGAACCAGCCGAGGAAGCTGCGGGATAACTAGCTGTGGTTACAGAGAGCTCCGCCAGCCAGCTCGACTCGTCAGCTGCGAGTCCTTAGCAAGGACGATAAGAGCAAGCTGATCAAACCATCCAGCAACCAGGAGAAACAGATGGCTCCATTGGCTAACTGGTTATGCATGAAGGGGGCCGTTAGCTACCTTCGATCAGGACATCAATAACGAAAATCAGGTCCTACACATACAGTCACGGACACACGAAGGACACATACGCTGGCACAGGTACACGCACAGGCACAGGCACAGGCACAGGCAGAGGCACTCACCTCGCTAACTAGCTAGCTGCTCCATCCAAGCCCACTCGCGGGGAGGGGAGCATCCGGCCAGCCACGGAAGGATGATCGTCGTGCACAACCCGACTGGTTCACAGCATGGGCATAAGAGGCACACAAGAGGCTAGCCAGCGAGGTATGGGGCGGCGAGGGAGTCGCTGAGTGGCCGCGAGAGGGCTGGCCGGTGAGGTTCGCGATATAGGGGGCTGGCGCTTAACGGGCGAAGCTGAGTGGAAGAGCGTCCAGGGGGAAAAGGGGAAGAGGGGGGGGGGGTCCGCCGGCAACGCGATATCACGTGATCGACATGACGCCGGCGGGAGGAGATGCGAGATGCGAGATGCCAGCTAGCTCGAGACAGCGCAGGCACAGCGGCTGGGGGGCCAGGGACGGGGAGGCAGCTGGATGGAGGGCCCAGGCAGCAGAGCGCGGGTGAACTACCCTGGATCCTGGCTCGTGAGACAGGCAGCAGGGGCAGAGGCAGCGAGGGAGCGAGGAAAAGAGTCCCCCAACGCCCGAGTCAGGCAGATGATACGCCGATTTCGCGTCGCCCGGCCGAGCTGGCTGCCTCGCTGCCAGGTCAGACAGCGAAGGCCGGAGCAAACGAGCCATTCTAGAAAGGTTCGATAGTTACGTCGAGAGAACAGCTGCTGCTGGCTGGATTGCATGCGTGGCGGCGGATTGGCCGGCTGAGATCGTACAGTTGCCATGCTGCGCCGCATCGAGGACAGCCATGGCTAGGTCTACCCCCTCCTCCTCCTCCTCCTCCTCCTCCTCCTCCTCCTCCTCTTCTTCTTCGTCTCCCTGGCTAGTTACCACCGGTTACTATACTCTGCTCCGCCAACATATCTTCCGCTTTGCCCCGTTCACGCTAATATTGGAGCTCTAGGCCGTCGATTACCTATTGCTCTCCAGCCAGTTCTAGGCGGGAAGTTGACTGGCTGCCTGAAGATGGAGAATTAAAAAGCTTTGACCGGTTCATAGAAATGGAGGATTAACTATCGTTGTATCCTACCCCGGATATTAACACGTTTAATATACCAAACAAGAGAGTGTCCTTACATGTTGTATGGGGCAGCAGTCCTCTTCCCTCCCCATAATGGATGGGTATATTTTTATCCTCAGCCAACAGGTTATTGCTGTCCAATCTACCCTTTCACCGTCCCTGCAGAATGAAAATTGAAGTAGCCAGTGTTTATTTTAATTTTCATTCTTTTTTTTTTTTTTTTTTTTCCTATTGATTTTCAATTTGCATTTCCAACGGCGCAATGGGTTGTTTCCTGTTGGGTGTCTCCTCCTGAAGAAATACTTTAGTGATTGCAGTGAGACCATGATCTTCTGCCAACACATTGGTATTTGGCAACTTCTCACAATCCAGTTCTATCTGGGGGCCGTCGCTATCAACCTCTTGGGCAACAGTCCGCTTTGCACAGGTGGTTTTCTAGGATATCTCATTTTGGACGTGGCAGTTCTCGAGAGAGGTGGGGAAAGAAGATTAAAGCAAAACAACTGGACTGTTTGCCTAAAACTGTTGGCATGCATACATGTGGTGTATTTTTATCATGTATAAGCCCCGTTAGCCGCTGTCTCATGAGAGAACCCACCTCTTAGGCAACCACATCAGCCTGCCACATGGCCGGGAAGCCGCATTTTCTCTCCGAAAAACTTGAGCTCCATATCTCCTTGCTGACACAGTTGAGCATGGACGTTTCGGCTGCTGAGGCTCATATCTCAGAACTGAGAGGCCGCCAGTGAGCGAAACAAATATGCAGTGTGACTCGATCTGCTTTCCCCTCTGCCATTTCCATCTCAAGCCGAGATGCCATGATAAGCGGCCGCCTAACAGGCCATAACGACGGAGCAAGTTTGCCTCCCTGCTCTTGTTCCCTTCGCATGGTCTGAAGTTTGACCGCGCAGTACAGTTACCTGCAAGATAATGTAACAGCAAACCATTAGATCGGTTTCTGTATAATTATCTTCAATTCCTTGAGAGGTTAAACCGTTGATTTGGGAAAGGCTGAACGTGTAGTGCTGTCATTCGAGGGAAGAAAAAAAAAAAAAAAAAGATTAACTGGGCTGTGCTGGACGAGCCTCAACTCCCTACTAATTATAGGTACTGGACAACCCTGAATGCATGTTCCAAAGCCCATCCCGAGTTGTCTCTCAAGAAAGTTAAGCTCCATAACGACAAGACAGAGGCATGGGCTGATGCATCATCCTACTGCGAGGAATGTGTTCTCTATCTACCTGCTGTCTGGGCTGGGAATGTTGCTAATCCAAGATCTTATGATATGCATCCCGGAATAGGGTGATAACGCTCTCAGACACCCTCTGTGCAAATGAACCTCGAAAGTCTATTGCTACCTAGAGATGTAGCTGCGCCTGGTTTTCTTTTTCTCGCTCTCTTCTTTCTTCTGCTCCGATGATCACTATTGCTCACGAGGAAGGCTTTCGGGCAGTCCTAGTGCAAGAATGCTCGACAGAACAGGCGGTGTTGACTGGGGTTGGGAATACTGGGTACCGAGTCGCTCTATCCAATCTCCATTCTGGGGACGCTAATGTGCTGATGTGATGATAGGAGCGACGACCGCGACGGCCCTGCATGGCCTGAATTCCGTATGTGCATTGCCCTCAGCGACATGGATACATGCGATTGACCCTGAAACCCCAAGTAGTGGCGGGGGGTTGTACAACAGGTTTCCTCAAAACATGCGGACAGTCCGACAGACTGGCCGACAACAATAATGGCCCAAAGAATGCGAGCCGATGAAACCTACTAAAGCTCGGTTAAAGAGTCCAAGCCTGGGACCCTCTCGTGCTCTCCCTTTTTTGCATCTTGACGGACATTCATCCTTTTTCTCTCACCCGAAGGCGTTGATCATCTCTGACCCTGCCTCTTTCCCACCCACATTCCACAACGTCGGGTTTTTACAATAAAGGGTCTGCTGCTGCTGATGTTGTGAGAGAGTTTGGGGTCCGTTTCCATTGCCTCGGGAACAGTTTGCTGCAAGAGAAACCAAATGTGACCCATGTTTAAGGGGAGGAGCTGAATTGATATTGGGCCTGACTGGACCGTATTGTATCCCCATCTTCAAGGCAAAGGGGAAGGAGATGGTCGAGGGTCCAAACCCGACAGCTTGGGTATGATGCCTAACATGCAGTGCAGTATTACCTGCTTTGTCACCCTTAACGAGGGAGAACGAACGAGCAGGCCGATATCTTAGAATTTGAGTGACCTCTTGACACTTTTCGACCCCCAAAACTTAAGTTGCCAGCATGCAGGTTGACGCCTGGACGATGTTATCGCTCTTTTCTTGACCCTTTAGCACCACCACCGGCTGTCGATATCGCGATGAACCGAAAGTTAAAAGAGAAAGAAGAAAGGGGACTTTCATCAAGAAACATATTCTCTGGTTCCCTGGCTCTGAGGCGGAGTCTTCGAATCCGTCCCAGAGCAACAAAGAATGGAATCTCAAAAGAAAAAAAAAGACATGGCTTCGAGTGTGAATCGCATGCAACTTAGTCCGTTCTTAGGCCCCCGCCAAGTGAGATATTTATCACCTAATAATTGAGCTAGTGAACCTGCACCCCTGGCCTTTTCCCCCGGCATAGCGAGTAGCAGGCAGCATCGTGGCCGTTTTTGGTGCTGGGCAGGCGTGTTGTGCATGTGTCGCTCCTCAATTCCAGCAAGAAGGCCACGAGCAGCTCCTTACACTATCATTAATAATGGAAATGAGCATAAAGCTCCTACATCAGTCCGGATCCTTGAGCGCCAGCTTCGTGTACGTGTGGTGTGGTCGGTATACTACTCCGTCCTCCTCCATTATCCTCTCTATGCAACTGGAGTAACTTTTATAGTTATACGTCAGATCTCAGATCTATGACTGTATTTCCTTATTTATCCGTGTGTACAGACACAGTGTGCTCAGTCAGCTCCCTGCAGTATCATGCTGGCCTCCAACGTGTTGATAACTGAATAACCCCAGCCTGTGGATTGATGTGACGCAGGCTTGATTCTCAGCCCCATCTGCACTTCGTGAACCCGGCGGCTAGCCAACCCGAATCACACCGAACCCCCTTATACGGTGAACCATCTGTGCTAGGTATGCTTCTAGGGCTTCGGTACCAGAAGGTACGAGGGCGATCAACTCCTATCTCCACGAACGAGCTAACTAGTTAAGATGCTTGACTTTTAAATCCCGCTCGCCGCAAAGTATCCCTCCAGCCCTTGTGGAAAGCTACACACGAGAAAAGTACCTATCTACGGGCTTCTCCGTCGGGAAATACATTGCTGTCACCGCATTAGCTTTACATGGCTCTCTGCTCGGGCAGTGGTCAATCCAGTCTTCTGGTAAAGCATGCCCGGGGGGGGCTGTTACTATCCCCGATGGCGGGAGGAATTAGTTAGCTAGTCCTCTTCGCTTCCTTCTTTTTACTCGACACTCGCTTGACCAACTAACTAGCTAGTCAGGCCAGTCAGTAATAATAATCCCCCCCATACGACGGATTTGAACATGCATCTGTCACCTCATGCATGCGCATGCATGTTGCGTTGCGTAGGGCCAGGATAGTGACGTACTTACTCTCCACAGATTGGCTGACAACAAGCACTCAGCACGCGTTCCGGGAAATTAATATATATATGTGGGAGTCGACTAATTAACTAGTAGTTCATTCCCATAGCACCATCCATGGCTCTGGAAATCATCTGGTGGGCTTTTTTGGTCCGCCCTATTCTTTCTTCGGAAGGTGTATGGCTAGTCGCAAGATATCAACCTTCTTGCAGCACGGAGTCCTCCCCCCCTGGTCCACAGATCATCAGGAACCGCATGGCTAGCCGTTACAAGAGAAGTACAATCCACTAAGCCATGCGAAAGGTTTGCTTTGGCCTCTTTCTCTGTTTTCAATACTCGCGGAAGGCCTTGTTTCCGGCAGAATCAATCCTGTATTTGTATACAATTTATGCCTGGCGGCCGTGCTGTTTCGCTCCTCAATGGAATTTATGCAGCCCAGCCGAATTATCCGGCTTGTATAACTACAAGACAAGGCTGTAACCTGAAGTGTGGATGTATGTACGGAGTATAGTAGCAGGATTTCGAGCAGTCAGTCTATAAAGGATGAAAGAATGATCCGCGCACCTGCGGGCAAAATTCTTGAAACGAGATTAATATAATTCCAAATTGAACTGCACATCTTTTATATTACTATGTATACAATGTTTTTTCTCCTTAGAGGGGCCAGCAGAGCGAGAAACACAATAGGAAAAAAGAAACATATGCAAGATACATGGTGGGAGAGCATATATATATATATTTTGAAGTAAACATGATAGAATGAGCAGGAGTGTACGTCAACTTGTGATCATTAAGCTCATCAACGTAAGATAAATGGAGAAATGAGGAGGAAAAGTACTAAAGCTCGCAGATGAAGGGTATATTTAAAGAATATGCAGTGTATCCAGCCACCAGTAGGGTTATCCTGAAAAATATATATAGAAAAAGCGAGAAAATGGCGAAGGGAAAAACACCGCAGCGGAACTTCACATCACAGGCCTGCTCTTAATCCCTCGAGGAGCCCATACTTCTCTTTCAACATTCAGAAGTGAAGAGACGGCACATTTTCGCACGCTTTGAGTAAATTGCTGAACACCTGGTTCTGTAACTCGAGGTTGTGGTGGTTCGTCGGCTGCACGGCGGAGATCACTTGTGCATTGCCCTGCTAGCGGGTGAGACCCACGACGATAAACATCTCTAAGGAGACCCCTTGAGGTAATTAAGGGGCCCGGACCTGGTCCCGGGCTAGGGCTGGGTGTGGGTAAGGGGATCGATCGGATTGGTGGTAAAGTTATATCGTGAGATGGATCAGATATATTAGGCTGTGGTAATGCGGCTTGGAAAGGATGATTTGCAACAGCGCTGGTGGTAGAAAGGGGCGGGAATGAGTATCTATGGGTGTATGGTATATTCGACGTGGTAGTGTCGATATTGACATGGAATCGATGGTTTGGTGGGGACGGGTGCCTGTCGTGTGCTGTGCTAGCATGGGCCATGGGTTGTTTGTTGGGGTCTGGACCAGTTGATGATAGCTCCATCGGATACGAAAGCGACGGCAATCGCTGTTGAGAGAAAGCCGGAGAAGAGAGCGGGAAGTAACTGGGAACTGGTTCGTGGCGTGGAGATGGAGTCCTTGTGTGTGAAGGGGTAGAGTAATCACGCCTTGCATCCTCAACAGGGTACTGTGTTGAGTCCAGGCTGAGTGAGGAAGATCGTGACTTTGTGCTTCGCCTCCGAAGGTTACCTGATGACATTTGGTGATAGTGCAAGCGACAAGCCAGCTCGGTCTTGCACAGATGGGCTGCAATGCGTTTGTATGGGGTTTTCATCATACGGGCACGGTAAAGGTAGGCATCCTGATCATGAATATTAACATATGTTCAAATCACCGACCTCTTACTCTCATCCACTCATACCTCTTCTTCAGTCCATGCGCGTCCACCGCAAGAAGGCAATGATTTGCTCTGTTTTTCAATTCCACACCTCGTTGCTCTAAGGCATGGAGGTTTATATTCAGTCATAAAGGATGGTGGTGACGGCGGTCCATCAGTATAGATCTGTCGGTCCATCTTCTGCGGCTCTTGAACGGGTATGATATGATTGATTAAACAGGTGAATGTCGCCGAATTATGATGACAACCAGTGCAATACTGCCGAGAGAGCTAGCCAATATATTTTTGAAGTTTGTGAAGAATCGTGGTTCATAAAGCTGTTCTTCAGGCATCAGAAAGTGACGCCCGGGTGGAAGCCAAGTTGGGAATTTGTATATCTACCCGCGGATAAAACACACTACCTTGTAGTGAACAAGGAGGAAAAAAAGGTTATAGAGAGAAATATCTCTCTTCTGTCTCCACAAACAAAGAGATGAGAGGGATGGTGAAAAGCAGCCGGATGAAGGCCCGTATTTATCAAGTAATGAAGTAAAGGGAGCAGAGTAAACAAAATATTATCCTCTCGAGATAGGGAAGATAGCAGGCTGGATTTCCCCTCTGAGCCACACAACAGTGAACGAAAGTCTGCGGAGTGACCTAGCGGTTGAGGACTCGGCTATGCGCAACGGATGTATTATAGATTGTTTGCGGTGAATGGATAGGAAACAGGTTGGGATTCCAGTTCGTGACTGTTGTAAACAGCTTAAGTTGTTGTAAATGAAAAATGCTGCAGGTCTGGGGATGAAATATGATATTAGTGGTAGATGACATAGCAGCTTCCTCCAAATATGTCTTGCATGACTTGCAGGCCTTGCCTTAGCATACCGTGCCTTGCCACGGCGGAGAAGGCATGGTTATGTAACAGGTTTGTAGCACACTGCGGAGTAGGGAGGAGTACGTTTGGGCACGATCTCATTTCATTTTCCATCCCTCATCCTGATAGTTATACCATGACAAAGGCATGCACACCATGACATACGTACGGAGTATGAAGGAGTAAATGCTGCTCCTACACGCAGCATCAATCTGCCGCGACGTACAGAGTAAGTGTAGGCACTCTTTTTTCCCACTTACTCCGCCTGTCCAAGGAACCCGCCCAGCAGGCCCGTAGGAACAGTTGTGATAGCTCTGCGGCCCCCTTCCCCCGTCCAACGGCTAATATGGAAAGGAAGAGCCAGGGTTATGGAATGGAAGTGGAGGGAGAGAAGAAAACATGATAGAAAAAAATAGACGGAGAGAGGAAAAAAAAAAAAAATACCCAAAAAGGTATTTTTGGCAACTGATCTACGCCCGTTTCATGATTTGCCATGGGTTTATGTCGCTGCATTGCCACGGGTACAGATCAGATGGCGGCGTGGTGATGCTTCAGAACCAGAACCAACAAGTGCAGGGAGCCAGCATGAACCACTTGACGCCGTGGATATGTCGGTTAAGAAAGCAGCAGGGCTGAGCAAGCACTGTACAGCAGTTAGACATATGCATGTTCGATGTGCCAAGGTGGACAAAAAGAGTGGATAGTTTCAGCCAGATTGACGTAATTATAACAGTTCGCTTGATGGAGACCGATGAAGCTTGAGCAGCGGAGGTTTTTTTTTATTTTTTATTTTTTTTTATTTTATTTTTCCTTTTCCTTTCTTTTGTTTTCTGGAAACTGCAGCTTTGATAGGAAGGCTAGGAATTAGTCTGGTTGAGCTTTTATATGTTGCTTGCATAGCATACTCCGTATGTATATTTGAGACAGTATATCTTTTTTCAGTAAGAAAGCGGTCTGCAGGTATTCAGAGCGGTTAGTTAGCCTGCTCCGAAGTTAGTAATAATATCGATCTTATAATACCATCACATCTCAGGAGGACGATGCTGTTTATCAGCGGCAGGCCGATACGTACTCCGTTCCTCACCCCTCTATCTCCTCCCATCGAATAAAAGGAAAGAGAAAGCAGGGCTAAACGGTTGCAGGAGAACCAGTTGAAACAGCTCTTGGCCAACTCAACAGGCCGACCGCATGGAGCAAACCGCTTCACCTGCTTCACCTGCTTCATCTGCTTCATCTGCTGCGTCTGCTGCTTCTGATGCTGCGATGTTGTCTATATGAAACGACGCGCGAACGCCAAAAATAGAAGAAAAAGGGCAGGTAAGCAGCTGAGTCAGCGGATCACGGGACACCTGAAACAAACAAACCCAAAAAAGGTACTGATGAGTCATCATATGGTCAAAGCTTCAAGGGGCTCTTTGATTACATAATATGTTTAATCATCTTGCTTGGCATCAGGCTTGGCAGGTTTATCCCTCAGGGGCTGCGGAAGCGCCATGGAGAAACGAGTATATATTTCGGCAGCAAGATGAGAGAAACATTCAATTCGAAACCCGGAGTTCGGATCCTCGGATCCCCTTGGGTTCGTTTTGTGTCAAGCGGAGTTTGCTTCGATCCCCGTGTGACAGCACAGAACGGTTGAGAGACTCCCGGCCGTCATGGCCATAACTACCGTTTTCTGAGGTGATATCAGGCCCTAATTGTATGCGGAGTAGTCTGGTCTACAAATAAATCCTGGGGAAGAAGATGAATGAGATAAAGGGTACGGAGTAGATGTATGCAATGCGGTTCGCGATGACGGTGCGGACTTGCATTTTCCTTACATCCGCAGGGCTCGCGGGTACTGCTGGTGATGCGGAGGCTTACGAGGCCAAATGGATATAATCGGGTTTGATAATGGATGGAACCGTCTCAACTCCTGTTGGTGATCTAAGGACGCAGATGGTTCGCTGCATTGACCAAGCGGCCCGGTAGGTGCGGCCTCGCTAGCTATAGTGTCTTGAAAAGGTTGTTCTCTCTGAACTAAGCGGCGGTAGTCCAGTCTCCCGTTGTGTTTCTTTCCCCCATTCTTTTGCATTCCATGCAGTCATAGAGGGCCGTTCTTGTTTCATTATGTGGAATCCATTACGGAAGATATCCACTGTAAAATAACAAGCGGCCGCTTATTGATGCCAACCGACTGCCCAACTAATGCTGTGAGGCAGGGCCATGGAGAGGATTCACTATACATGGTTGGTGATATCACATCTGACAGCCCCTTAGAGAAGCCATAGACTCTGCGGCATTACCGCCAATTCTATAGCCCGTTAGCACATTCAGCTTGCATACAAGACATTTGACTAATCTAGGGAGCTTGCATGCATAAGTGGCAGAGGGTGCGAGGGAGCAAGCTTGCCACTGGACACCGAAATTGAGCTATAAGTATGTGGTAGTAGTAACGATACCAACTATTCCGGGTATCAGAGTGTATCCCTGTTCCCATTCCATTCATGGTGACTGAATAGGCCTGTAGTGAGAATGAACCGAGAAAGAAGCCATTCAGAATGAACAAGTAAGTGTCGTGGTGCTACAAAAACAAGAGCTGCGTGTTTGTTGCACTACTTGGTAGGTTGGACGTAGTTTCAAAGGAACAGGCCGTCAATCCTCCTTGTGGGTGGGAGCGGCATCGTATGAGCACTCTCTAGGGAGCGTTCCGTGTATAGCTGCGATCCTCGAGTTACTTTCTGTCTGGTGTATCAAAGTGACGGGAAGGCAGTGGTGTGCTATGGGAATAAAAAAAAAGGGGTCCAGATATATTGGACACACGCCTTTCCGAGGTCCTAGTTCCTGGGAGCAGCAGATCAGCAAGACCTGGTCTGATCCGGCCAAACAATGCTCGACACTTGATCGACCTCGAGGGTCTCGTTGGCCCACAGGTGAAGTCGAAGACTCCTTCAGACGAGGGGAAGCTCTGGATGGAAACGAGGCCAAGGAGGTATGCGAAGTCCCGGCCGATGAAGTCCTACAACGCGGTAAAGTCTGGCTATGATCTGCAGAAAGATGCAAGGAAGGATGCTAACTATCTGTGCCACGTTGACAGACGTCAGGTAGACAGGCATGGAAAGGAAGACAAGACGGCCCATCCTCGCGTGTATGTACACAGCGCAGCAGCCGCCCGGACAGGGCGGTTGAAGGCCAAAACACAGCAACCAAAGAAGCCAATACTGACGAATGGAACAAACGGGGAAAAACAATAAGGCATTCTAAAGAGAACGCATTTCTTCTATCATTTTACAAGCTGAGACAGCCTCGATCTCGAGACAAGCAGCAGCTTGACTCCCGTTCTTGCTTTTGCAATCGAATCTATTGGACAGTTTCATGCCAACCAGCAAGCATATATAATTGACGGGATATAAAATAGACGTCCGGGAGAGATCGTCCTATGGGTGGATGGCCAATCCGACAGAGAGAGGAAGGGATGTCTACCTGGAGGGACACGGAGAGCAACCACGTCTTACGATATGCGCTTTTGCGGAGGGTATATCGACGGGCTTTCCATGTGTACCCGCGGACAAAGCCGAAGACGAAATCCCCGAGCGAAAAGCAAAGGGAGGCAGAGTGCATCAGCATACGAGTTGTAAATGGCACGGCATGGTCGGAAATTACTTACCACAGAAGAAGTGAGGCTGTCGATGACACTGGACGGGGAGCCATGGTTATCAATCGTCAACGGAAGACTTGGAGGTCAGCAGAACAAAACAGAGCACACACGTCTGGGGAAGACAGAGAGAACAGAGAGGAAGAGAACAGACTGTTTTGGCTGGCTGCATCGTATCCCAGACCAGATTCAAAGGGAACGAAACACTTTAGGGGGCAACCCCCCTTCTTCAACCTCGCCTCTAGAGACATAGCTGTTTCTTCCCTCCCTCTCTCTCTTTAACTAGCGCGCTGGGCCTGTTACCTGGAGGCCCTCGAACGATTTGTGCGCATCCAGAAACTGGGGTAGTTAAGCAAGGTGTACAGGAGGGCTTCCCGTTCCCAGAGGGTGACTTTGGGGCCAGGTACCTGCTCGTCCCTCCCGGAATGCCTGTGTTCTGCCGTGTTGCGCGAGAGGGAGGCTGTTGATTCCAAAAGCTGGGCTGGCAGAGATGTCCAACCGAGCAGCGGCAGTTCAGTCTCTGTATGTGTACTCCGTCCTGCCTTCGATCGAGCGAACAGGAAGCGCGAAAACAGGCAAGCTGGAGGACAACTGAGCCTGTCAGGGGGTGAAATCCCTGGCGGAGCACGAGCGCAGCAAACAGGTGTACTTTGCGGAGATGTACTGGTCTAAAACAACGGGCACAGTACGGGGAGTGCGCTGGAGCCAGCCAGGTACCTTGCCTGGGCTACTTTGAAATGCACATCAGATCGCTACGTAACTGCTCTTGGTTACGGAGTACTACGGAGCCTACGGGGGGGGGAGGCGCAGGAAGTAGCTCCAGGTAGAAGCACATCAGCTTCCCCAGCGGCCCGTCGATGACGTCCCAGGGAAACATCTCAGTCTCTTGTTTACGGCTGCGAGCCCTCCAGCCGGCATCGACACAGCTGTCCGCATCTCTGCCGGCCTCGCGCTCTCATGCCAGCCGTCCCTCTCGAGCCGCGGTGGGTGGTCGACGCTCGACAGTCCTCGGGGCGCTTTGTTTATGCCTAGTATTGGGACGGTATTACCGGGGGCGAGGCTATGTCCAGCGACTTCTCGCCACATACAAATTCTGCGGGCGAGCGAAGTCACTCTACATCATCCGACCTTCCCCCGCACGTCAACAAGCCCAGGAAGGGCCAAACCTTGGAACATTTCCTGTCTTCGCTTCTTCTCATCTCGCATCTTGCATCCTCACTTCGCTCGTGGGTCATCGTCGGCATCTTCTTCGCAAAGGGGGTGACGAGACAGGAAAAAAAGGCCAGGTCGCCAGACGGACGCAAAAAGCAGAACAACATCAGACGAGAAGGGACGGGGACAAGCACGAAACGACAGAGAGACAAGAGACAGAAGAGAAGACCAAGGTCGAGTCTCTTCTCCCCTAACTACCCAGCGCGTGCTCGAACCCGGCTCTGCCTGTTTAAAGTGAAGGGAGTATATGTACCTCCAGCTACAGTACGTCTATCCTCTCTTTCCTGCCTGCTCGCTCTGCACCGCCAGCTTCAGCTCCATCCTCAGCTTCGTCGTCCTCCTCCTTGCTCTGGCTACTTCTCTGTCGGCTCAGGGCGTCTTTTTACTCTCTGATCTATCTCGCTCCCTCTCTCTGGCTGTCTGTGGCTCTATCCCTATCTCATCCTTCGCTTGGCCTTCCCCCCCCCCCCCCGTCACTGCCTCACACGCCTGGTACGCCGCCTGCTTCGTACATCGTCCACCTGTCAACGGGTATTCCGCAAGTCACCGGCTGCTGCTCCCGCCCTCACACCCCCCCTTCGTTGCGATCAGGCCCAACGCTTCCTTTTCCCTTGCTCTTCCGTGTAACCTCCTGGTCCACTGTCCTCCGTGTTAGAGAGTGTGTGAGAGAAGGACAGAAACAGGGCAGAGAAACAGAGCAAAAAAGAGAGAGAGACAGAGATACACCCAAGCAAGGACTGCTTTCTCGGCAAACTCACTCCCCCAAGGACGGAGTACATGCTATGTAGCTCAGCTATCTGGATCAGCCTGCTAACTCTCCTCGCTATCGTTCGTATCGATACAGATGAATTGGGTCTTCCCATCTAGGTCTCCCCTTCCGGACATGAAGTGAGTTACTCGTCTCTCCTTTGTCACTCCCAGGTCCCCCCATTTCAGATCTCCTATACCCCTTCATCCCTTCATCGACTTCCACCAGATCTTCTAGTTCTTCTTCTCCCTACTCGTTTCTTCTTCTTGCTATTCTTCTCTTTTTTTTTTTTTTTTTACTTTTCCTCTGCCTTTCTCTACTCGGTTCCTCGGGAGTTGCTCCTAGGTTCCTCGTCCAGGTTCCCTCCACTCGTCCTCCTCATCGTAGCATAAAGATGCTCGATTCGCCTACATATATATCCTTCCTTTCTTGTCTCTTCTTCTCTGTTCTCATCTCCTTCCTATACGCGGACAACCCCAGTGAAACAATTAACTTGACCCTCCCCAACTGACTCGCCCTTCTCTCCTTTTTCTTTCCTTTCGATCTAGCTCCCCACACCGTCTCAAGACTGGCGTAGGCCCCAACCCGCCAGCTCTTCCTCCCCAGCATCAGCAGCACCAGCAGCAACAGCCGCAGCATCACCAGCCGCAGCAACACCAACAGCACCACCAGCACCAGCACCATCAGCATCCCATCCCCCTCTCTCAAACAGGCGCCCCTTCTCCATTTGCTCCTCCAAACCCCTTCGACAATCCAATGGTCCCTGCGCCTCCGGTTCCTACTACTGCTCCGGCTCCATCACACCTTCAGACTACCCACGTCCAGCAACAGCAGCAACAGCCGGCTCAAGTGCATCCACCTTCGTCACCCGCTAATCCGAGAAAGCGTCGAGCCTCTATCCAACAGCCGGGCTCCTTAACAAACATGGGACCTCCAATGGCTGGATCTAATGCTACTGAGCAGGATGGCACTACAACTAGTACCGCTCCCGCTCCCGCTCCAGAGGCAGGAGTAAAGAAGAAAGGCCGCACCAATACACCTTGGACCGCAGAGGAGGAGCAAAGGCTCAAAACGATGAGAGATGCTGGCAATACATGGAGTGAGATTGCTAAGGTACGCATATAAAGTTATCTGAAGATGCTACTCATTGCTCTCGGCCACTAACTAGAGCCAAAGACGTTCCCTACCAGAACTGAAGGTAGCGTCAAAAAGCATTGGTATAAAGACATGCACTATGCGGAATTTGCAGAAGATGAGGTAATTTTTGCTTAATCGAGAATGAAAGCTCTTTCAAATACAAAATCTAACATGCTGCACAGTCCATAGCTCTACGGGATGCAATTAAGGAGTATGAATCCAATAAATGGAAGGTCATTGGACAGAAGGTCGGGAAACCAGCGAAGGTATTCATAATTCTTTACAATTGTCCCCCACCGTCTCAAAATTTGATAGAAAAGTACTTAACATGTCCCATTTAGGCCTGTGAGCAATATGCCAAGGAACATTTCAAGAACCTATAAATACTCGATGTCTAAAAAAGCAACCGTCTTGGGATACCTTTCTGGTCCGTCCGCGACAAAACTCCAACTCCTGGGATACACCAAGCACGCCCCCTCCCTAGCCCAACCCCCTCTTTTTTTGTTTCTTTTTTATGGGCAGCCTTCCCTTTCGTTGACACCAATCGGACTGCCTAGAACCATGATGGCAAATATTGAAACTCTGCCACCTGGATTTGAGAGTGAAACGCTCGGATATATGACACAGCTGGGCATGTTTACCTGGCCAACTCTAAAGCTTGAAAGGGATGTTACGATTGGGCCGTCCGTTTTCCTATATTACTATCTTTATTTTGATTTCTACATCTACTTGTTCTCACCGCAGGTTTCTGTCATTACGTTTACTCTGATTTTTTAAGGGAGTCTGGGTCTGGGCTTGTCTGGGCTTGGATGGGCGTTCATTTCTCTTTAATTTTCCGCTGCAGCATCCACCCTTTCCTCCTCACGATCACACCTACGCGCGTTGCTCTCTCCACTTCTCCATATGCGGCGGTTCTGCAAAGTTATAATACCCCCTTTGCACTGGATTTTTGTGGTATGACGGGACTCTTACCTTCCTATATTCTTATTCATAATTCCCTGTTTAAAAATTTTCCCCCTTACCTGCTTGGAGCGCCTTTTTGGATATATCCCACAAGCCATTGGCTGTCGGCTCACGGATCATGGACCACGAACTCATTACTCATGTGCGGCTTTCTTTTTTTCTTTTCCTTTTTTTTTTTTTTTTTTTTTTTTTTTTTTTTTTTTTGGTCTCAAGTACTTTTGTTGTTTTGCCTTGCCTTCCACTTGGCTGCAGCCCCTTTAGTTCTATTTCCCTTTTCGTTTCTTTTTTTTATATACTATCTTTCTCTTTTTGTTTTTATTTTTCTTTGCTGGGTACCTTATGAAGGAAGTACGGAACATGGCAGGGCAGGTCAGGGAATGGAAGGCTACATGATGCAATTGACGTGATATCAATAGGGTGATGGAATTTTTGATGTTCTTGGATAGTTTATTTTTCCTGTTCTTTTTAGCTCTTCGCTCAATTCTCTAACTATTACTGTTCCTTGTCTGTTCATTTTTCCCGAGGCTTCTCTAGCCTCTCTCTATTTTCCATTTACCTCTACCCTTGATTCGGGAAGCAAGAATAGGAGAGGGCTGTAACTATGTTAATTGAACTGAAATCTTATCTTCGCGGGTACCTGGGTGATCTACACGGCACTACGTAGTTATGATGTCAAGTCACGTAGTGTATTTCATGTCGAGTGTAGATTCAGGAACTCCGCTTACACAACACGCTGGAAACTCCACCAGGTACCGTGACCGCCAAGTACTTCCGCGCCCTCGAGCAGCTTATTTTCACCTCACTCGTTGAATGTATGCGGTTTGCCATCAACAGACAGCTCGACGGGAGGCAGCTAGACAGTGATTACAGAGCATATTCTATGCGAGTAGCTCTATTGTTTGCTGTAAAGACCCGCATCCGTGACAAAAAAAATATGCAAAGTACCCGTTTATCAAGTGTACGCAGGCCCAGAGACGGTAGAGCTTGAGTCTGCTACTTGTAAACATCCGACCTCAAGCCATGTATCGCTACATTTCCAGCGGTATCTTTGGCAATCCGCCATTTGAGTGTCCATTTCACCGGCCTGTACCTTCGATGTAGCATTCATAGGCTCGTCTTGGGGAGAAAAGATAAGTCAGCAAGGCATAATAGCCATGATACCCACTAACCCCTGCGCCTGATACAACCGCGGCTCGATCTAGATGCAAGTGGCAAGGCCCCATGTATGTGGCAACGACCACCGGAACATATTTTTACATATTGTTTCCCCTATTCTCATTGAAGATCATCATTTCATATGCATGGACGGGTTGAGAGCAAGATCTCACAAGAAAAAAGCCATACGCAAACCGATATGCACACCGTGTTTCCCCGATGAAGGTTGAGTTCAAATATATCCGCGGGTGACTTCCCTGTCTACAACGCATACGAACTGCTATGTAAGAACTAGCAAAATCAATTCAACGGGATAGATACCCCAAATATACCCCTGCAATGGCAATGTCTATTATCCTGTTAGGGAATGACAAGGAATAGTATGGCTACAATCCATTCTTTCCTGGTCGTTAGCCCGAGTATGGGCGGTTACGAAAGTAGTGGAAGGAGGGCGAATGGTTCCCAGCCACATTAATGCTGTATACGAAAGCCGAGAGATTGGAGATGTGACATTTCAGACAGATCAGATGGTACCGCATGAGACTAGAGCTAAAGGACGGCTGGAAGGAGACCGTCTATATGCATTGTCTGGAATTGGTAGAGCCATTGAGAAGCTCATCCAGGTCTTTTACTGCCTAGAATTGACAGCGTGGGTGTGGACGTGTTGACGAATCTTTGACTCTACTCACTACAAGGAAGGTGCGCGTGATCGGGTTTCTGTACAAGGTGTGGGAGATTGTATGCACGTCATATTGGGTTACCCGCTGGTAGAGGTAATACGACCCAATTCTTGATGGAATTGGTCGATATGGGCCAATCTTTTGTTTTTGGCTTTGCGGTTCTATCATACCCTCTGATATTCAAGGCTCATTGGCAGCGGAACTTTGAATGAGCTCAATTGCGATTTCACGATATGTGTCTTACGGATTGAAGTTGCGGTCCGGGTGCCGTGCCGTGCCGGTTCCATTGCCGATTCGATTCGTGCTGCATCGGTGTATTCTCAGGAGCATAGCCATGTTTTGCCTTCTTTATTTTACATTTACCATTTACACTTTTTCTTTTGCCCGTTGTTCTTCGTTGCCTCGAGGTTGTGACACGTACTAGGCAATGACGGGCTGAAGGTCATATTGTTTGTATGACTATACATGGGGGTGGTCGACCAGATGGGTCTCTCAGCTACTCGCATTTAACCCCCGCTCACAAGTCTAGAGACCCTGGTATGCTGAACTTGAGCTGAGGGTATCCATATTCAATTCAGCCATTTGTCGGACATGGACTTCCACTCGGCCAATTGTATCAAGCCACGGTTGGTTACCATGGTCCCCTTGATGCTGAACATGAGATGGACTGCCCCAACGAGGAAGGAACTTGCTCTTTACCTTTTTGTTATACGTACATTCTACGATATACCATCGCCTCGGTGTGATTACGGCGGCCGTGCGGTCGACTCCAGCTGCACCTTATGTCAAGAAACCCTGCCCAGCCACGCCTCCCGGTCCTGTTGAATATTCTTTTCTTCTTCCACCGTGCTTCATGGCTCCCTCGACGAACCTACCTAGGTTTCAATAGTTTCCTCCTAACACCTATCAAGGGCCGTTCCATATCAGGCCTGTTTGTGAAGATCCGTCGTGACGACCTGACCTTCCAGGTGGGCAGTGAATTATACATAGCTTCCAATACCCAACCAAAAGTATCTCCCGGCCTCCAGATATAACCTAGTTGACAGGGGATGACCTCAAAGGATTTAGGAATGCACCCGAAATCGCTAATTTTACCTTTCGAACCAAGTTACACATGTTCCCACTTCTCTGGAGGCTGAAATGGGGGCTAGTCATCGGACGGGTATCATGTACGGAGATACCGCTACCCACCCACAATATGCAATACGGTATTCTTAACCATTGGATCTCTCTTATCCATCCGGACAATGTAACATCTGGTAACATATGGCCGTATGTGGCATGCATGGTACCCTGCTATGCACGTTTGCTTTGTTCTGCTGTGGGAGTCCCGCCCGCAAAGGCTTGACACAGTCTCCATATTGTAAAGACCTGTGGGGGTTCTGCCCAAACGTTCACTCCCCATTGACTCTTGACTTTATGCCTACCAGGATTTCACCAACAATTTAAGGAGTCGAACTTATCCCTATGACTGTACAAACACTTGCGCGTATAACTTGGCTCCACCCTCTGCTTCTAGACTTGGGAACGAAACCCTACCGTACCAGATCTCTAATTAACGGTCTTCTTAGGCCCATGGAAAAAGCAGCTGCCCCGTCGTTGTGTCATATCAACGTATCGACACCATATCATGTCACTTACATTTGTCCCCCCACATTCTCGAACGCAGATAGAAACTTGATTTGCCTGCATTGCATTGCATTACATTGCATGGCATCGCAATATACAGCAAAGTAGGATAACGGATGGGTGGAAAGGCGTAGGTAGCGTTCCGGGCAGCATAACATAAGAATATGCTGCCCCCACGGTCATATCTTTTCTTGTCGGCTCCCTCGGTCCCTGTTGCGGCAAGCCAAGTGGGATGTATACGATCCTGTGAAACAAGTCCCGTACAAGGCCACAAATAGTTGATTCTACTCGATAGTGGTGGCGAAGCTCCAAGGCGTTTCGGAACTCGTATAGTTGTTCCCTACGCCAGCTGACTTTGGTACCAGGGTAACAGTGACTGAGCTCTTTCCAGAGCCAATATTGAAATGACATGTTCGTTGTTTTCATCGAGTGAACAAGACTGTTATAACAGGTATGCTACAAAATAAACTGACACGGGACTATGGGTGGAGAATAGTGAAATCAGGTGAGGATGTAGAAGTATATATATCAAATAAAACAGGAAATAGCTGAGTCAGATTGATGGTAGAAGTATGTTTAAGGCATGATCTCCCTCAGCATTTCTTTTAGTACAGATACAGATATGTCAGGAAAACGAAGTCCTGGTCAAGGGAAGTGTGGCAAGTGGTACACATGCCAATTTACCTATACCAATACTCAGGCTTAACGTGGTCGGCGAAGGTCTTTGGTTCGTAAGGGCCGTGGTGGTCGTGGCCTGATCATTGGGAGAGGCATTAGCATGACTCATAGCATCATGGGGAAAGGCACAAAACTTACCGTGGGCGTGGGGATCCTCCTTTGGACCAACGTACTCCATCTTGATGGTGTTGCCGCACTCAGAACAACGCTCAATTGGCCGATCCTTGGAGACCTGACAAAATATGAAAGTCAGCTACATTTATATCATAATAGATGGCAGAACGCTGATTGATCTCGGAGGTAGCCGGGCAACTGAAACAGAAAATCACATATCACTTACAGTCAGCCAGATGACAGTGTGAGAGTCGGCTGGATAACCAGTGCATCCGACGTAGTGTTCCTCTCCGGCGGATTTGACGACAATTGGGTCCTGGAGGGTTCCTATATGCAAGGAAGAGTGAGCAATGCCTCATACAAAATCCTCTTCTATATTTCATAGACACTGGTTGAGTGATTCATCCGTGGTATGATATCTCAAAAATGTCTGATTCGATAAATCATGCAAGAACAGTCCAAAAATAATGTAAACGGCACATACCGAGTCGTGAGGCATCGAGGGGCTTCTGGTCGAAAATATCGATTCCTTGCATTTTACCCAAAAGTTCCAATCGC